ATCAATTAGAAACATGTGGAGATATGGATTTTTGAAGTATAAATTGAAATAAGCGATGTAGGGTTTTTATATGTTTTTATGTTTTTCATATGTTTTAGAGGTAAATATTGAATGTTTGTAAATTTTTGCTGGAGACATCCGATCAAGCTGAAATTTTACAAGTGATCAGGGTTTATTATACACTATATACGGGAAACTTTCAAAGCGTTTACTCATTCGTGTCCCGAATTAGAAGTGGGGGGATACTTTTGCATCCTACTGTAAATGCAATTTTAATGTCACTTTCGGCCGACATTGTTGTATGGGCGGCATGTTCAGTGATTATTCAAACGCAAATCCCCGAATTACGCAAGAAAGCAGTGCAGTGTTAGCGCATCTACTTTTACTCAATGTATGTTGAAGAAAGGAATACGCGACATTTGAAACTTTTCCCACTGATAAATTAATTCACTTTTCAGGTTTTACTGGCTTACTATGGTTATGCTCTTGCTGCTGTAGTTTCTAATTTATGATCGATATGTGCAAGCCGCCCTCACATGAATCTATGTACAATTAGGAATACGGTAGAAAACGGGGAAAGCAATATTATTGTCATTTCAACATTATAAAGCACTCGTGTTTTTTTTTTCGTTCAACTTTTGAATCCTGACCAATTGCTTTGTGAGATTCGAATATTTTTAACTGTTTAAACATAGAATTGCATGCTTGTTATTATAATAAATAGGCGTTTATGATAACTCTTATTCGATCAAATTGCGATAGAATTATATGACATTCGATAGGCTGCATGTATCAACGACTAGTAAGGTTGAAATAAAGCGAGAATTAGAAGCTATGCCAATAAGCTACGCGAGATGCGTATTTAATAAACCCACTGCAGTTGACCAATTTGCATAGTATGCCATAAAAATGATAACATTATAGTCACTGCTGAAAAACTGCAGCTTAATCCATCTTATAGAAACTACCATTAAACCCTTATATTTATTTTATCTATCGTGTACGGGTAGATCACGTTTAAAGATATTCTATCTGAGACACGACTTCTATTCATTGTCCAACTGAACCACGAGGTCAGGCTGCAAACGGGCGACTCACTTTAATCCCAAGTATAGGGAACCTTTCCTTTAGTTACACCTATTATCAGTAAGCCCAAGACTTGCTGTAACACGTAGATAATATTAAAACGTCAATGTCCTATGTAATTGTTCATCTAGACTGCAAACAAATCAATGCAATAAATATTATAAATAGACATCATTAATAGAAGAGTCCTATATTAATTTATGCTGCTGTAATTTCTTCAACAAAGCTGATGTATAATTTCTGGCAAACGACGAGAGAAAATACTATGTGTAATAATAGAGAGATAATTAGCGATCTGTGTATTGAGCAAAGTCTTATTTATTATATATCAACAGGCCCCTTATAGAACTTACCTCGTGCTCCGAATTATGTACCTTCACAAAATTGTGGGCCAATTCATGACAAAACGAAAAGAACCAATATATCATGGAATCGGAACTCCATTTCTCACCATCCGAACCATGCAAACCCTCATAAAAGTGCAAGTTGAAAAACAGTGCTCGATCGCGATTAAATGCAATCGACTCTCCAACAGGATCATAGAAAACATGCACTGCATTCGTTGGCAGTTTGAATACGTCGGACAGCTCTTTGAGAAGTCCGATGAATTTGACGAGGTGCTTTATGCGTGGATTACCAATGACTTCGGCTTGCACAATGTCCCTCGATGCATAAACTTCCATTCCATTAACAGGGCCTATGAAATTTAGTGAATGACCTGACGGAAAGAAAAGTCACAGAGTCACGGAGACACGATTAGTGAAGCGAACAGCTTTCAATCAACCGAATCAACCGAATTACTACACACGCTTACCAGGTACAACATCACAATAATGGCTTGCACTCTCAACTACCTGATTAACTGTTGCCTGATTGTTGATCGCAATTCCCGAATTAGGTCTACAGGCCATCACGGCACTGTGTAAAGCTGCCTTCAGTTTATTTGTATCTTCCGATGTTACCGCCATCGGCTTTTTACCCTTTGAACTGCCTACATCCTGGTGTTGTGTATTATCACTAAAATAGCCTTTAGCTTTATCAAACCAGCCATTTATTGACTTTGGCTTATCAGCAGATCGTTGTTTGGGGTAGCCGCTTTCCAGTAGTTTGTTTGTAACACGCTCAACATGATTATCAGTTTCTGCTGAAACCAGTGTGGATAAGTAGGCACGATCAGCGTCGGGAAAGATCTCCTGAAGTCTGTTGATATAATCCGTATTAGCATGTTGCGGCTGCGCCGGTGGAGTTATTGTCGAATTCTGCGGTTTATCAACTATAATTTTTTCTCTTCTTTCTCTCTTGGCTCTCATAATCCTTTCCACCGGATATCCCTTTCTTTTCAGACTCTGTAATGGAGTGGTCAACACCGAGCTCAAAAGTAGCGTATCATTCCATCTCGGCTTCTTGTAGATAATAGTACTCAAACTGTAGGCGATGTCCAAATAATCAAGATCTTGTCCAGCAATGTATAATGTATGCGTGTTCCCCCTCGTTAGAAAACACGAAGTTGTCAGCTCTGTTTTTGTTTGTTTTGTTGATGTTAGGAGGTAACGTGTTTGTATTTCTTGGACCTGTTTAACGTGGATATTTTGTTGTATCCATAAGGCGTCATGACGCATTTCGTTACGATGGCGTTCATGGAAGAAGAGTGCCGCTCGATCTTTGATTAAGTTTTCGAGCGTTGTGGACATGGGTGTATTTTTTGCTTCGCCTTTCGGAATGTATGAGGTTTGTACGCTCCGTTTTAGCCAACAACTACCAAGTTTCTAAAAATAGATTAGGTAGTTCAAATGAGAATATATCCGGATCATATACAAACTCAAAGTTTCAAGGCTTATTATGATTGGTTTTCATTTAGACTGGTTCATTCGTACCTCGTAAAAATTTTCAAGCAATTCTTCGACTGGACATGTCAAAACACTAAAAGCTCTCCAAATATTCGGATCGTCATTCAAGAAAATATTCTTTGCCGTTGCCAAGGCGTAATGATTAACTTCATCTCCACCTCCATCTTCATCCATGATTGCATCATCCGTCCCTCTATTAGAAGATTGCACCCTAATTCCCAACAAAATAGGTGACCGTGACATCTCAGCAACCAATTCAGATTCACGACTTATTAAATCAAAATTTGCAGCAATGCTACGCAGAACTCCGGTATATTTCTCAACATCGTCACCCATTTTCGTCCAAAATTCGGTTGAAGAACGGACGAGTAACCGAGCGAGTTCTATGGGAGATGGAGCTGATTTTACGCCACATGACCGAAGAAATACGTTTGCCTTTTCACCAAAGTCGATATAAGAAAAGAAATCCCTATAACTAATATAGTGAAGAACGTCATAGTAGAGCAGCAGCACAACGTATAAAATGTAAGTATACATCTGTTCGTCCCGTTCTTCAACTAACCCAATCGACTCTATTTCCTTACCTCTCATCCTGACTCTTAAAGAAACAACTATTCGGATTAGTATACACAATCTTATTCTCTTTATCTCTAATCGGAACAAATTTAACATTGCCTAACATCTCACAATCTGCATGTGAAAATATTCCCCGTTGTGTTGCAAGATATTCAAACACCTTTCTCGCTTCGTCTTCGTTCCGAGACAGCTTGCCACGCAATCTTTCTATTAATTTTTGCTTTGGCGGATGTTGATCTATGCCTAACTCTGCGGCACGGAAGCTTAAGTCTTGATGTAAAGCGTTGAATCCCATGACCGTACATGCGGAATTGACATAACAGTCGGAAGGTGTGGAATAAATTGAAGAGTCAGTGCAGGGAAGAAATGGTATGGTTATAGAATAAGAATGGTACCCGGTCGCGTAGTGAGCTTTGAATTTCTCCATGAAATAATGGAGAGCTTTGCGTCGAAGCTCGATTTTCGTTGGGGGAGCAGCCAACGAGAGAATATCATCCATGGGCGGATAGGTACGGAGCCCGAGATCTATTAAGAATTTGGCTACACATTATATGTATTTAGAACATGTTAAGCCCTACGGACGTTGAGGAAGAAAATCGTCTCTAAAATTCCAAGATTTCCCAAACCTACCTTCGCTCGAATTATTCTTCCATTTCCCTTTCCACTCGATAAACGGCAGTTGAAATTCTCTCAATTCGGGCAAAGGTGCATATAACTCTGATGCCAAATATCTCTTGACACCCCTTTCCGCAGATCCGTTCTCATCCGCCTTTCCATTATCCTGCTCCTGCTCGCGAGGCCAGATCGCAGTAATTTCCAATCTTTTCTTTTCGATCGGTTTCAAATTGTTTGATATAGAGGCCAAGTACTTCACTAATTGTGTATGATCCCAGTTTCCCTGAGAAACTAAACGATCAAATATCAACTGCAGCTCGACGTGCTTGCGCACACCAAGAAGAGTAAGCAGTTTTTCGGGAGGATTTTGGAGCTCAACTGTCGGCAAATCCGGGAAAAGAGTCACTGACGAGAAGTAGGCCTCTTCAGGAATGCGCATTCCAAATTTGGTCGGAATCACTTTCTTTTGACATAATAATGTACGAAGAGTATTTTGATCCGAAGAGGAGAGAGATGCAAGGGAACGCCCAAGGATTCTAATAAAGTTTTGAGCGAAAACGGTATCCGATTCAAGCTGTTGAAGTTTTGGTGTTTTGAGTATAAAATTCACCCAGGCCAGAATTGAGAGTTCTTTGTAGTTTCTGGTGATAGATGAATCGTGAAAGAAATACAAATTAATTATATGATGCTTGGAATGAACCTGAGTATGAGCAATTTAATACAACGTAATAAATAATATAATTACCCAAAATGTTTCCCGAGCTCATTCTTATTAAATGATTTGGAAACATTATAAGGCAACATATCGTCAGGAAAATCATTATTTGGCGGTATCAATTTGGGGTTCAAGAAATAGTTAAACTTGGCCAGCGACGAAGCATTATCCTCCCACGCAAGAATTGCAAATTCTAAAAACGTCGACCTATCCGCGTCCTTCGTATGGTTTTTCGCACTATATTCAATCCACCACTTCATCAAACTGGTCATTTCTGTTTCGGTAAAAGTTCTATTCTGTAATTCAGTAAACAAAATATCGTCCAATGTAATCTCTCCAATCATTTTCTGCTCTTTCGCCTTCTTAAAGAAAGTATCACATTCTTTTAGAACATTCTTTGGAACAGTCGGAATAATCTTTATGAATTTTTCCATGTCCTGATTAGGTAGTCTAATTACGTTAATGGGGAGTACGCCTAGAGACGAAATAATAGGAAGTGGTTGCTTCGAGCAGGCGAAGAATATTGTTTCCATAATTCTGCCGACACGATTATTGGGGGTGCTTGGGCGAAAGGTAAAGTGTATTAGAGCATGTGTAGCTCGTTTTTGAAACCATTCACAAGCTGAGCGTATTGCTTCGTCATTTGAATCAGCGTTATTGCCTACAATTTCTTTATAAAGACGGGAGATCTGGTTCATTTCGTCTTCATATAGAACACGAGAAAGTACTCCTGATATTGACAACATTTCTTCATTATAGACAGCTAATGTCTTGTCTACCAAATCTATCGACTCGCGTTCGACCTGAGTATTGCGTAGAAAAATAAGAAATGTATTAAATTACAACCGCGTTTGTGGACATTAGACAATGAAAAAGCAACAGACGACAAACAGCTGCTACCGTATGGCCAAGCCCAACTCTTTGAAACATCTGAATTTATATCGACTCTTACCGTAGGAATAACCCTCGCTGCCAAGTGAGATGAACATCCAGTCGTCTGATGCGTCGGGAAACCAATAAATATTCTTCCTTGTTCTGGATATGGCAAGAGATCCTTAAATATACCAATAGAAGCCTTCTTTTGGTTATTATCAGCCGCTGAAGAATTATGCTCATCAAATCCTGAAAACAACATTTGTATCATAGTCTTGCTCGGTGGTTTCTTTTTAGTACTACGTTCCATCTCCGCCGAGAATGCCTTCGTCACGTTTACGTCTAAATGCCCAGCCGCAATACGAAGAAAAATAGTCCCATTCTCTTTTGGACAACTTGCAGCTGTACGCGTGGATGATGTCACGAGTAGGCGTTCAACGTCTATTTGCACATTTCGTACGTCAACTGATTTGAGGTGGAACATTTTACGCGGCGAGTATGTACTTAGACCACTTGCTATATCCATTGCACGTGAATCAGACATTTTCTTAGAGAGTTTTAGAATTTCTGTGTCATCTATGTACACAGATATTCCGCAAAGGTTTCCAGTAAAGCCCTGGATGTGCAAAAAAAGGGGGTGAGTATACACTATAAGAATAATGGTATCATATAACAAATATTATGGGATAATGATTCATTACTATCGATGTCGCTAGGAATCTTCCAAACTGTTCAGGATTTGGAATCTGTTGGGTTTACAAAATAGTAAGTTAAATGTCAGGAGTCAATATTTAAAGAGCGGAACAAGTACGTTTAAAAATAAGGATAGAGATTTACACAGCAGTCGATCATAGTCAGTATGATATCTACTCACCTCCATGGGCTCTCTAACATCCATCAGAAACGTTGTCCATTGGTCGTTGGAATCCGTTGGCCCTCGCTTAGCAAATAGTTGATCTCCACGCCAATAAAACGCCATTCCATGTCCACCAGAAGAAACACTAATGGGGAAAAAGACAAGCAATGGTATGAGACTTTAAATGCAGAGACGCGCTACGGCTGATTGATATAGACAACGGTTTATAATAATCAAAAATAATACCATACAATGGCTCTTCGCATACAGAAAACAGTGAGTAAAATCCGACACCAAATGCACCAATCTACAGATCGTAACAGCAAAGCATGTATCAAATCAGAAATCATTCCCACAGATAGCATCGCGAGAAACTAATAATCAGAATTTTTCACCTCTCATACCTTTTGCTCATCAGGATTTCCCTCTGCTATTTTTTTCAATCTATTCCAATCTTCTGATCTAAAGACAAAGCCATTGTTTTTGAAAAGTATTCTAGTGCATTTGTTTTTCATGTTTAGCTGTCCTGCGGCTTTGCCTGCTGCCGTTTCAAATATTATCTCTACTTTTGATGACTTTGCATCATCTGTCATGCGAATTTGGTCAAGAAGAGAGAAATGAATTTGGAACTTGAACATTAATTATGAAAACTTCACGGGTAACTGACCTGCATTCTGCATTAGCTCTCTGAATACTACAAATTCAGCGGAGTATCTAATCATTTACATGAGACAGTTAAAGAGTTTGAATTCTACTGCGGTAACATTCTCTCACAGTTTACGCACCTTGCGAGGATCTTGTCAATTAAATGTCTTTGATTAACTTCTACTTTTTCTTCTCCATCAGCATTAGACAGCACTTGGTTTCTCAGTATGTCTAGTGACATTTCTGTAAAATATGAGCTTAGCCCAGGATAGCAATTTGAAGTTGATTCTCAGGAGGACCGGTTCGTGTCATTTATATGTCTTTGTAAATTTAAAATTGGCAGGACAATTAAATATGTCACAAATGAATTTCAGGGGTTGCGCAATCGAGATATGTGGTTGACGTGGAGGCCCAGCCGAAATATTATTACGCCATCTGCTTGTGTCATTAACAACAGATGAATACGACGCATATAATATTAATTGTATGGAGGGGAGAACACTGCGCGCGAGATTGATATCTAACAATGAACTTTGCATTCTAATGAAAGCTATAAATAGAGAACGCATTGTAATAATTTGCATTTCTGCTAATTCGAACCTAAACCAAATCGCAAACGTAAACAAATATTCACATAAATAAATTGACCATTTCTAAACCGTTTTAACTCAAACCCCGACAGAGTCACAATGACAATTAAATTGGCTAGTTATAGAATTGTGAGTCAACTAGCATCACAGTGCTAGTAAATTCTATCGTATACGACGTGATGATGATCTAACGTCATCAGGATTACGTTGAAAGTCCGCGCAGCTTTTAAATATAGTAATGAGGGTATACAAACAAATATAATAATATATTATTTAGCACACACGTTTTAACGTGGTGCGCCATTGGAATTTACTTACTACTTGGAGCTTGGCACACAAACAAAGCAGTATACATGAAACTCTTTATTAAAATCTTTTCCAATTATGGAATTTAAGTTGGCTGGGACACTTGGAGATGCTATGCTGGGTAGGAATAAAGCGTGGGAGAATAAAGCATGCAGCTCCTGTGGCTTTATCAAGTATAATTGTTGGCATGTTATTTCTGCCAATGATAGGTTAATTTTTAAGTCTCGTGAAATAACCTGTAAGTTATATTCTGTCATTTGGCTAATGATACACATTTGGACAAGTTATTATTATTTGGTATCATCGCGAAAATGTTCTAACATAATCTTTGCCATATTATGTTTGTCTCTCAACCTATGCTATATTTTTGTATATTTTATATAAGGTTGCGTATGGTTTGGATATGTTAACATTCTATACCTATGCGAAGGATCTCATAAACGAAAAGTAGCCATGTTTTAGAAGGTATGAAGATATTTCCTCATCTCATTAACTTTCTGCTATTCCCGAATTCCGAATAACTATTTCTGCATCCTCGGATTCGTTTCTCTAACTCGTTTTTGGAGCAACGAGTTATAAGCATTATTAGTTAAAATCTGTTACACTAATGAATTTGCATAATAAACTCATTTACTAGGAACGAGGATAAGGAATTTCTTAAAAAGACGCATCGGCGTTTATCGCTCATTTTGATAGTTTTTGATTGAGCATTGTTAGTATTATTTAATTTAATGTTTAAGTACCATAATAAGAGCAAGAACAAATATAAAGGGGGTGATGAATGACAAGTGGAAGCGCAGTTTCTGATTGGAAAATGCTGTTGAATGATAAAATGGATAAGTTTAGTTGGACACTTTATTTGTAGACGATGAATTACATGTATTTCACGTAGTAAGATATTTAATATTCAATAATAATGTTATTTCATACTCCCTGTACGTACCGCCGCTAAATTTGGATGCCAAGCTTTGCTGTACCAATTTTACCCGAGTTTAGCATACTTTCCCTGTCTGACACACAATTTTACGATAATATGAGCCAGAAATTTTATCGATCACACTAAATTGACTCCTCAACTCACCCGATTTTTGGGCATGCTATTGCCACATTTTTTTGGCTAAATGCCATAAACTTTCTATGGGATTTAAGTATGGACTATTGTTAGGCTAGTAACAATTTCGCGCTGACATTTCGTGACAGCAAAAAGTTAGGCTTGAGCAAAAACAAGATGACAATTCATATTGCATAACATACAGTATACGCATTTGAGATGTATTCCGATAGTAGATAATTAGGTGCATGCTGGCAATAATGTTTTTTGTTGATAAGAGTGACATTATAATGACGCATAAATTTCTCTTACCATTAAACACGAGACTAAGTCTTCTGATAGGTTATCATATATTGCGTTACCACGTTATACTTTCGTCCCGTCTAAGTCAGTTATTTCTCAAGTTCAGGATACTCTGCTTACAGCCTATATGAAATTTTAGAATATGACTTTATTGTCAAGCTACACATACGTGTGCTAAAACAACAAATGATTGTGACGTGTGCCTCTCGCTTTCTGCGCAACCATCATTAGACATGTTGAACTTGTGACAATAAAGAGCCATTCATCGGGTTTGTCTGGTTGGTCAGGCCACTTAACTATCTCTTGATCAATAGGTATTCTTGAGGATTGAGCTTATTATTGATTTGAATACGTAATCGGTCAATTAAAGATTGAATGTTATCGTTGTCTTTCTATTTATTAATTAAAGGATACTTGCGTTGTATTGTGACAATATTCGGGTTAGTTAGACTTTTCGCTATACTGCATAGGTCACGCCGATATTATGTGACACTACACGCTATACAGTTGAAGCTCGTTATAATAAAAAGTTGGGCATAGCCCATGAGCACCATTATAATACGAGTCCATAATAATGTGATGGCTTGTTATAATGGACTTCTTAATGATTGCACGCGCGATTATGCTATCAGTTCACTAATAAATGTCATCAGCATATTCACAATCTTTATTGCGGTCAACAAAAATGACAATTACATCAACCGTTACATGATATATGTTATATATATATAGATCATAGCACCAGTGATATCAAGACTAGAGGATAACACACCTTTGACCCAACTCCACAAGGCACGTTCAACATTATCGTATTTTGAGGGGCGATTACGCTTCAATTGAGCAATACACAGTAAGTCCGCTTTAACGAAAGTCCGTTTTAACAAATATAGCCTTATAACGAAGCTTTTTTAGGAACCGATTTATTCATATATGCTTAGCGCCCGGTTTAACGAAGTAAAATCTGTATAACGATATAGCGAAGAAATTTCAACCCGCTATAAGATAAACCATTCAGTTTTAACGAGGATTGCCTAAATTAGCATGATATACCGAAATTTTGGTGCATAACAAAGTTCGGTATACAGGTCAAACCTGTTTAAACCGGCGGACCTGGTTTGCCGATTCTTGGCCGGTTTAGCTAAGGACCGGTTCAAAAAATTGTTCAACTAGAGAAAGTTTCTAATTAATGAAAGTTTGGTGTAGTCTTGAGGCGGCCGGTTAAGCCCGAGACCGGTTTAATCAGCGCCGGTTTAAACAGGTTTGACCTGTATTATAACATTATAACGGAGTTCGTTATACACAGTGAAATTCACTTTAACGAAGACATTTGTTCCACGATTTTGCTTCGTTAACCTGAAAGTAAACTGTCTTTTTATATGAAATGTATGAATCTGTTCTGGAAAAAACTTCGTTATAAAGCGATCTTCGTTAAAGTGATTTCACTGTGTAGTGTTACTGTATATAGAGATTTAAACAATACACTGCATGTAATAAAGATGCCTAATTCTTCGCCCATTCAAGGTTGCAAGTGATTGTGAGGAACAAGCCTCACCATTGTTCGGTATAGAATCTTCTCCCAAAAAACGTCCCCGAATTAAAGATAAATGTTGTTCCGGATCAAAGAAACTACGTACAAACCTTACAATTGTTATGAAGAAGGAAATATGTCAGTACAGAAGTAAAGACGAATAAATCCTACTTTAACAAATATTACGTGATTATAATGAAAGTTCGTTATATAGGTAGAAGTCCGCTTTAACGAACAGTCCGCTTTAACGAACAGTCCGCATTTTGGCTGAACGGAGCTCTTCATTAAAGCGGACTTTACTGTGTATATTTATTAGAATTCGTTGCAAGCCACTTTTATTTTGCCATTAAAGACTGCAGAAACGGTTTTTTCCTTGATTCCGTACTTTGACGCAAGTTTGCCATTCGTTGGTGTAGGTTTTTTCTCCTTGTCAAGACATGGTGACGTTTTTGTGCATTTGTTAAAGATATTCTTATTGCTAGGCATTTCGTATAAGCCAAGTGCTAAATATTAGTTTTATACCCAATTTAACCAACCAATCATATTGAGTTTGACCCTCTTGTCCTATTGGCTGAAGCCATGTTAATATTTCCATTATAGTGCGACTGATTGTGATATTCATCAAAAATTCCATTATAGCTAATAACGCGATTTTACTACAAGAAAATTGTGTTCCAAAAAATTTTTTACTGCGTGTGGTTACATTGATACTATTGTTCTTATTTACGGAAACAATATGACAGTCATGATATGATGTAATGATGTGTTACACTAAACAATATATCGATACCCGTTTGTAATTGCGGCAAACACGCGTCTACTCATACGTATATACCCAGACTTCACCGGTTTATCGACCACATAACCGATAAAAGAGTTCAAACACGCGTCTACTCATATATATACCTCCACTACACATATATTGTTTCGTTTCTCCTCCCCTCCTCCAAAGCGCAAATACAACGTCACCCAAATACACAACGAACAACCGTTTGTCGTCACTCCGTATCCCGCACATACGAACAAGTCCTGTAACGACACGGTTTATCAACCACATAACCAATAACTACACGTCTACTCGTATATATACTCAGGCGCTACTTTCCCATTGTACCAAAGTGCAAATACGTCATCTACAAGTTCAATATGCCGCCACCTCATATTCCGCACAGACGACAGCCTGCTACAACTCCTTCAATGAGCCATTAACACTCAACAACGACACAAAAGAGTACGCACAAGAGCGAATTAACGTACATACACAAATCCTCATTATTGACGTGTAAGAGTTGGAAAAAGTTGTTTTGTACGCACTGATTTAGATATTCGACGGGTATGTTCTTGTCTTCACTAAAATAAATAGTTGCGTCATAAAATAACTAACTAGCTGTTATAATATCAATTATGCCACTTAGAAGTACATACGAGTCACTTCCTCTGTTTCAAACAGTTTTCCGACATTATCTCGCTCTTTATACTACTTTGACAACTCGGGCTGCCCTTGCTTCGTTTATTATTCTCATCTGTGCGCGCCAAGTCTACTCGGCATATTCCAACGCCAATAACCAAGCAAGCTTCCTAACTATTGACAAAGCGGTTATTGATAGACGGAATGGAGATACAACCACGAATATAATCGAAACCGGGTTGGGGAGGAGACGGTGGAGTAGATGAGATAGATAAATAAACAAATGGTGGATGGTAATCGTTAACCAACAAACTATTACTTTTTGAACTGGTTTACTAGGTGGCTGCTTTCTTTTGTGGACGGGTACGGATCTGGATCGGATAACGGGTAGTCACCTCCTACCCGCCGTTGTCCCCAGTGCTCGCCGGCGGTGAAGGGATCTGGTACGGGTCTGATGAGTGGGTCACGGGGGATGCCCGGAACACTCTTCAGACATCTCTTTTTCTTTTTTTATACAGCTTTTAGATGACGAGAAGAAGGTTGGGGTAAGTATAAGGTAAGTATCGCATTGTTTTACGTTATCACTAACTCTATTTTCTTTTTTTTCTTCTCTCTCCCCTTTTTTTCACTGACGGTTTGCTGGTGACCGGATCCAATGGGACACTGGTGGAAGTGGACGAGTTTGAGGGGCCGATTCGGTGATTGCTTAGTTATTTGTGAAGGATTTGTTCATGAAGCTAGTTAGAGATAAAAAATGAGTTTTGCTGCTTGGCATGCCGGGTTGGAAGCAATGGTTATTTGATTATTTATCCACCTATTGTTTATTCGTCATCTCGTATTATTGTTATTGTTTATTTATTCATTTATTTAAGTAATTATTGTCACGGCTGATGCTGAAATCCAGCTGAAGCTGAAACCATGACCTTTCATTGGTTGATCAGATTTTATTTTCTAACCCCATTGGTTAGTTTCAGCTTCAGCCGGATTTCAGCATCAGCTCCCACAATTATTATTAATAGTAGTAATAATTGTCACGGCTAATGCTGAATTGAAAAGACCTGATAATTTTCTGTTAAATTATTTTACATCACTTCAACTATACGCATATTCCATTCCTTAAAATTTAATAAATGTATCAACACGTTGCCAAATCGCTGTCTTGCTCTTCATGACTTAAACCACTTATTTGCGATCCCGGTCGGCAAATTTACTTGATTTTTTAAAGCCAAAACAAAGTGACATGTTCTCTCTACTAAGATGGATGATATGTGACATAATGATAAGGGATCGTTATAAACGGGTCCGTATTATTTCATCGACAATCATTTCACCGACAGTACATTTCACCGACAATTAACTACCAAAAAAGGATAATTTCGAAATAATGTTGGTGAAGATTTGTCGGTGAAATGATTGTCGGTGAAATGATTGTCGGTGAAATGATTGTCGACGCCTCCCGTTATAAACAATAACCTTTTTCGATTCACGTTTATTATTGATGTTTCTTTGATCATATCATGAGCGAGTTTTTTTTTCAAGGGTTTACCGCTGCCATATCAATAAAATAGCACGCAGATGGTGATATTGACCTCACAGAAATTAATATTAGCATATCGATCAATTCTTGCAATGATTTAAACAAGTATTACAACTCAATTTGATAGCAGCGTTCGATAACCATAATGTTTATTTTAATATGTTGCAATCTCATAATTTTTTCACTCTATGAAAGCCCAATTAACACGTTTAGCCCAATATAAACCACGCGTTCCGCCATTCCTTTCTATACTAGAATCACTATTTTACATTTATATAAGCATACCACGGATGATACTTGAACTCGATTGCCATGTCTTTCTTTGTTATTGTACTACTGTTTTGATCTTGAATGGATGATGCTTTTGCTTCACGTTTACTGGACGATATGCCAGGATGAAGCATTTTTTGTATGCTAATTGAATTACCTATGCATACTCGAAGCATATTTTGCATATCCTTAATGGTAACCAGGAATCATGTGATTAACGTTATTTAAGTATACACCTTTTATGCTCGAAATGGATGACGAAACTAACCTCTTTAAACTCGGGTCCGCAGAGTTCCATATGTGTCTCTGTTGGTTTCAAGGAATTCAGTCTTTCGATGGCACTACGACACGTTTCAAAGTTATGTAATGCTGCCGACAGCAATTCGCGTGACTAATATAAATTGTGCGATTATTGAATTAACATGCTCTAAACTGTTATCGTTATTATGTGCATATCATGATATCTTACAGATACGTCCGGGAACCGAGTAGTCTCCTTAAAGTCAGCATAAGTCAACGCAGTAGGGCTGCCCAGATTTCTTAACATTTTGGTTCTATTCCAGAAACGTATGTTCTCATTATCATATTCGAGATTAGGCGAAACCCAATCGTTGGATTTGCGTAATGCTACGATCATCTGATAACAGAATGAGAACGTCGCATGTTATATACACTATCCGATTATATAATCGGGCATCTGAATTTCATTTTCGCCTCTTTACCCTGTAAACACCTCGACATATTTCCTGCTTTGCCGTAAGTAATAGCTGTTTGTTAATCAACTGTGATACAATTGGAGGCGCTGGAGTCGGCCTCGATTGTCTTCGTCTGGATTTACGATTGTCTATGTAAAGAGTGAGAGCAATTAGCACGAGTAACTCAATGTAACGCAACCTAATACGTCTGTATCAAGTATGGTTTACCTTTCTTATTTTTTGCAGCCTTTCCAGCAATGTATACGGCCATTCTCTCCAAATGACGATTATGAACACCCAATATATAATCAAGATACCTAGGCGGGTAACGAATTAGAACAATATAACGCAGAGGTAAATATAAACAATTTGTCAATTTCTTATATTTAGTCACAATATTGCTATTGTGCTTATGCTTTTGCCTTCAACTGTGCTCACCAGTAGATCATCATGTACTCGTGCGGCCCATACAACTCTAACTCAAATCCAAGAAATAGAGTTTCTTCCAGCATCACTAATTTCTGATGGTAAACCCACGTCGATAAATAAAAGGAAAACGACGGTCCATCCTTAGTGTTCATTGGTTCCTCTTTTGTTATTGTGTGCAATTCAGAATCGATGTGTTCCGCCTGATATAATACATGTACGATAAGTCATCAAGTGGAAGGCAGGAAATATACAACATCGGAAGAGGTGTTGATGTGCTTGTTATAACAACTTTACCTCGTCTTGTAATATATCCCAATCTGATAGCAACTTACACAAATTCCTTCGTTGGCGCGACCGATTGTGACAGAGAACCCGAAGGAAATTTAACCATGGCTTAAATAAACTGTTAATGACTCTCCGTATCAATCATTTACTCCCACAGCATTACATTGTATTCAATATTCCTCCGTCTTTCAATCACTCATAAACATGAATTACCTTCGAAGCATTCCCAACGAATACACGTAACAGGTGAGGTATGTTCGTGTTATCAGAATTGTTTCCCCCTGTACTGCTGCCAAAGCCACCACGACTACCGCTACCAATACCAGATGTGATTAACTCCGTCTTTGAAGTAAAATAGGGGTAGGGCGGATTGTTTAATTCTAATACAGATTCTTTAACTAGTTGATGCATAGACATGAAACCGAGGACTCGGTCATCTGTGCAGAGCGTAGACTGATCGATTGAGAGGTCGGGATAAGTAAAGGGTGAGAAGAACATCCACGGATGTCTTTGTCATACTAAGCGAACCAAGAAAACATACTTGTAGCAGTGATCTTGAAAAAGCGCATGGAGCAGGTCGTCGTGCAGCAAAATATGCGAAATAATTCTATTTGTATAGTTTCAAAGAAATGAATAAACATGCTGTAAAGATATCACTTGTATCAGATAATATCATTTCTTACCTGTAAACTACTAGCCGACTTGTATTCAATAACTCCGCATATTGATATTACTTCCTTCAACAGGTTATCCAGATCATTCAAAGACTATACACAATGATAAATTATCAAATTGAATTGATCTCCAACTATAACTCAAGATGCTTCAGGTCTGAACAAAAAGTCCAATTTACCTCTTCTATTGAAAGCAGTTTTATTGGACGCGGTGGTGTTTGAGATACGAGTTTCCGATTTATCATTGGGTCGAACACTATAAGATGAATTGCAGAATCGATAGCATTAAACACTCGAATTCATACAGCATTAAGCGAATTCTTCTCTGTCCCATGTATTACCACTCTCTACATCGATTCCAATCTCAATAGTCTCTCTAATCCCAGTCCCGTCATTGGAACCATTCAAACACACGAGGGCTCTTTGCAGATGTTTTGCTGCCGAAGCATATTGTGAGCATCGTGGCTGGGAGATGTTATTCAGTGCAATCAAAAAAGACTAACGTGGAGAAATGTGCATGGAAAGAGTTATGACTTATGATTGAGAGATACGTGAAGACATGAATAAATAACAAAAGCCTGATAGTACATGAAATATGGGAAAAGAAATATGTATAGAAACACACCTTGCGCAGAGATAGACGTAAATTAAGGGCCTGAACTATCACGTCTGCTGAAGATTGATCTGCATCGCACGATTGTTCTGGTTAATAAACGAACTTGAAAATTGTCTCTAAGAATTATTAAACTATCCTACCATAATCCTGTAACCAGGTTTTTCCGACATCATCTAACCATTGTTTGGCCATGTCAATTAAATTAATGACTTCTGATACTGACTTATCTTCACACAATGGCTTGCCGTATCTATTCGTTGCAAAGTCCTCTTCCTTTAAATAATAGTAATTACATATCAATAACGAACAAATTTGCATTAGAACTTCCCGCCGTTCTTCTCTTACCTCGTACACATGTCCCTTATACATCTCTTCCCAAACTAAATGACAACATTTCACCGTCCCCAATATGTACGCTTTTAATACAATAGCAACTAATTCAGCTGGTATGCTGTCCTCATTTTTATCAGATGAAGCAAACGCGTCAAGTGTTATATTGTCAAGAAGATCGAGGTATAGACAGGTATAAAGTGTTTGTGATAATGAATGACCGGAATGCCAAGTCATCTGGTAAGACAAAAGGAAGTGGTGCACGAGTGGTAGGTTATCCCTTATCAGAAACAATACAGAGTACTATTCATTCCATACCTCGCAAATAAATATTCTATCCATAACTCCAAGAACTGCTTTTGGAGTCAAAAGTACAAAAGGATCAAACGCTTTCTTATTAATATCACTTTCAAATACCATTCCGCTGTCCATCTTTGGATCCATTATCTTTTTATGTGTTTGTCATTGCATTATAAATTGGGACGGGAAAAAAAACAGACATTGGGTGTGTGAATTTTTACAATAGAAGTCGAAACAATTCATCTCCACGCCCACCACACATAAAAATTTGTAAAGATCACACACGCCCTACATCAGCCTTCGTTCTTACCTCGATAGAACTCATTGCATCGTATAAGCCAAAGGACTCAAGATGAACTAATTGACCAAGCTCGAATTCTACACTTTAACACAAGAAATAGAAAGAGAATAAGATGCGACACACATAAGAGATGATAAGCGGTGAATTCGTATGAACTTGCGCATTTATACATAGATATAGCATTCACGATTAGGTGAATGCGAGAATATGTTATGACGCGCTGTCTTCTTCTCCCATCCTATCACACGTTCTCTACAACCCCTCCCTTCCGACAATAATCTTCACAAACCATACCCTCAGTAACTTCATCGAGAAACTTGGTAATATCTTTAAATGGCGGACCAATGTACTGGATACCGTCTTCCCTCATTCTCTCGTCGAACGTCGCTCTTATCACATCTTTTTTCTCTTCTGGCTTTGATCCTTTGATGCCGGAATCATCAACAAAATCTACGACTGAGCGTACAAGAGAAGAAAGGCTGGAAGACGTGGTTGGTGGTTGTGGCAGCGGGGACGATGACGCAGTCGTCGTTGTGGATAAGCTTAGGATGGATAGAGAGGCTATATGAGTAGGATATGAATTAAAAATGGGGGCGTTCTAGTAGCGATTCTTTGTAAATGAACAGTTACTGTTCCTTTGCATACTTTTAACCTCATTTAATTCCCGGTCGCACCTATATTTACGCAACAAACAACAATTGTAATTTTAGTATTAAATTCGTCGTTTTCCTTCACTTTTCATAAACTTGGCTCACTTGTTGTCGTCATCGAACGTCATATTCTTGTAAATGCTCTGTTTCGCTACTTACGATTCAACGATTTGAACTTTCTATGCGCCTCGTTCCTTTTTAGATAATGTCATGTGATTTATGGGTTAATCAAATAATAATAAACAAAAAAAAAAAAACGGAATCTATTTCTAGAACGAGTCGATATGGAATCTTCAGACAAGTAAGCTTGTGAGGCAACATATGCGTGCGGTACTGTTATCAACCTACGACATAATAATTACTATTTGTGTTGTGATTTGAGGGATAGTAAATTTACAAGACACGAAACGCAGATATTGTATGAATTACGCGGAATACTACATGCTATTGAGTCAATGTATGAATTATTTATAATGCGTCAATATTGTTATTATGTCCGATCTTAGGAAGAATGCGTTGAGTGGATAGTATATGCAAAGGGTATCAAGTAACAAAGAGACGGATATCGTTTACAAAAATGGCTTATATTTTTTAAAATGTTTCCTTCATCTACCAGTAATCTAAATCTTGCGAAAGCAGTACATACAACATCGCCAGGAGGACCACTTCACGATACACAGAAATATGCGAGAATGGGACTAGCGGGGTTCTCTGATTTGATTAAACAAGTTAGCAGAAGTGGATTTGCAGATGATGAAGGCACTGTACAGTGAGAGTATTTCAGTGGTTGTCGGCAATCATATCGAAGACTGGATCGTGGATGGTAATGCCGTTCATAAAGTATCAGATGACGGTTGCAGAGCACGATTCACCGCGTCAATTCATCACGTATCTGAAGATCCATTCATAACATTAAATTAGTACAAGCTCATGTTTTAATTCTATATTTTCTTTGAAGTGATTTGATCTGATGGCAGTCGAATAACTTCCACATGCGATAGTCTATTTGAAGAATAAGACCTGCTTTATTGATAGTCTATGCTCCACCACTACAATAAATGATAAGGAGATGAGTTTTTCAGCGAGATGAGAGACAATAAGCATACTAATCATAAGCAACAATAATTAGAATATTATACATACACTAAAATGTTATTGATAGGAATATGAATCAGTTTGACAAAGAATCCGATAAATCCCATCACAAGAAATCCCATCGCAACTGCTTGCGATATCTTAATAAACTCTGGAATGACGAGTGAATAGAGAGAAGGATGTGTGTTAGAATCATAAGGTAAAGGCGAGCGTGCGCAATAAATGGTTGTTCTCGTTCACTCGTAACCACCACCCACTGCGCATACAGTCGCGAGTTACTTTGTTATTGTCTACGCTATCGTCATCACGATCACCGGTTTTTCGTTTCATACCTCTTCGATCAGGCTTAGTACACCGATTTATGAATTGTGTACCCTCTTTTACAAACTGTCTAGGCATTTCAATTAGTTCCTTCACTTGTTCGCTCATCTTGGCGTTCAATGGTGAGTTCTATTATTATACTTGAGGGTGCGATTAGAGTCGGTGGGAACCAAAGGAATAGATGAGACTTAATAATGAACTGGAATAGGGAATGGTAAATGAGATACTTAATATACTTTGAAAACCCAATGAAAACTTGCCAAGTTTGAGTGCATGCAATTTATTACACGTAATCTCAACATTACCATATAGGGCAATTAACCTTTTATATTCTTGAGAAACAAGAGAACTATAAAGTACTAAGAAACATAGTGCGGCCAAAATATACTGTAGTAGTAACATAATAGGGGTAATTTCAAAAGAGAGATTAAGATGACGTATTAGTATTCTTTATTATTTTATTATACAAATATAAATAGATCTGTAATCACATGATAAAATCGATAATCTTCTTCGTTTTTGCCATCAACGCTACATAAAAATGAATCCTAAGGTGTTTATGGATATCAAGATTGGCTCACAATCAGGTAATCATTATCAAGCAAGGTAGACAGTACACAGGATGCCACGTATGCTATCACGTTTACGTATCTTTTTCAGCCGGCAGGATGGTTTTTAGCCTCTTCTACGACACTGTTCCCAAGACAGCCCAGAATTTTCGTGCTCTCTGTACTGGTGAGAAGGGCTTTGCTACTACCGTGAAATCGAAGCCATTATGGTATAAAGGGAGCAAATTGTGAGTATGGGGTTAGGCAATATATGAGGATGGACCGTCAGTAGATTACCTTTAATTTATCATTGATCATATGATTGTAGTCATCGCGTTATCCCCGAGTTCATGGCCCAAGGTGTGTCAAATTATGAGCGTTAACAAGATTTATAAGAGCCCGATAGTTTGCAAAGTCATAAAGTGAAAGTGATGAGCCTGATTGAGTGATCTCTTAACTGTCTAGTAACATTCCCTTTTAATATACTTCAGGTGGAGGTAAGCTTATGTGTTCATTGAACATACCACCATCAGTAGAGATCTTATCTCTCTTGTCATCCCCACGCTATCTAAGTTTCAGCTACCACGAATAATTAATTACTCATGATCTACAATAAATGCTGGTCAGATTTTACACGTGGTAATGGTACAGGTGGTGAATCTATATATGGACAGAAGTTTCTTGAGTAAGTGAAGGACACAGTTGGATGTTAGCAACCTGGTTATGTTGTGAACTGTATATAGTATTGATGGGATGTTCTTATTCAAAATCAGTGAGAACTTTAAGTTGAAACATGATGATCAGGTAAATTCTTTGAATATGATAAAGTCTCAATGTGATAACTTACTCAAAAACGCTGGCGTTATATGCATTATCTTTGCTCTAGGGTCTGTTGAGTATGGCTAATTCTGGTCCAGTGAGTAATCCATATTAATATCATCTGCCAGAATTTATCACATTCATTATTAATGAATAAATTCCTACACTCAGAACACAAATGGGTCTCAGTTTTTCATTACATTTATTCGAACTCCATGGTATGCATAATATACTTTGCTTAACCATTTTTCTGAAAAAAGTCTCAATATATTTTATTATTCCCAGGTTGGATGGTAAACATGTTGTGTTTGGAAGATTGGTAGATGGATGGGAGGTATTAGACAAAATTAAAGTATTAGGAACAACAAATGGGACACCAAAAGAAGAGATTGAAATAGAAGACTGTGGAGAATGCAAAGAATAATGATGAGAAGATATAATGGAGTTAAAAGCAGAGAGTGCAGATCTAGTGATGGAAGTTAACTGCAAAAGAGAGCACATATAATGATGGTTAAATGCACCCACAATAAATGTTACACTTGGGTTTATATACCAATTGTATTAGATTATTATGAATCCTTTTGTATGTGAGATATCCATCTTTTCTAATCAATTGTTTATGTTGACAGAGATAGTACTTCTTATTTAGTGCTGTTGTCCTCTTTAATTTTTCTGAATAATAATATTATTATACTTTTTATTGAGGTTATAATGTTATAGATTGTATAGATCATATTGTTGAAGTAGTGAAAAAAAATCCAGCTCTGCTGGATTGAACAAAGCCCAACGCTATAAAAATGGCAATACAGTCAAACCTCTCTAAATGCACGTTGTCGGGACCATAGTGAAAAAAATCCAAAAGTGTGCATTTAGAGAGAGTGTGCATTTACAGAGAGCAAAATATATAATGTTCTTATAAGCTGGGACTGAACATACCGTGCATTTATATAGTGTGTGCATTTATATTTAGGAGGGTGCACTTAGGGAGAGTTCACTGTACTTTGTATTAGATCTTGATTATGTTTTTTAACATTTTCTTTAAAAAATTAAATGGTTTGCAAATTTTCTTTTTAAAGCAACTAATCTTGGCATCAGCCGGTATGTATCTTAGAAGGTGTTGTTTTAAGTGACATCTCGGACAGACACGTTTGAAAAGTATTAGTATACGAAAATGTGTTATGTCTTATTAAGCAAGTACTCACACCACAATAACATTTCGGACAAACACGTTGAAAATTATACGGAAAAGTGTCTTTCTAATTAAACAAGCACTCGTATTATTAAGATTTTTGTGACATTTCGGATTTGAAAATTATATGGGGAGTGTTGCTCTAATTACACAGTGAAAGTCGATATAACGGTTCGTTGATATAACGGATTTCGCTTAGTACGGATTTTTTTGGAACCAAAGTTTTACTAATTAAATATAGCGGATTTTACTATTAAATCGTTGTAGTGCGGTTCCGGATTATTTTTTTTCGATGAACGGAGTTTAGTGATATATAACGGAATTATAACGGAGTCCGTACTAATCCGTTATAATTTGTAGTAGATCCGTACTAAAGTGGCCGAATCTGTTATAATAATAATCCATAGTAATATTAATAGAACAAATTTATCCGTCAGTGAAATAAAGATCATGTTATCAAATATTTTTCACTCTTGTATATTAATAACATTTAACAATATTAGGGGGGGAAGAACAAGGGTTTTGTTAACAGCTTTACAAAAGAAAGAAATAGTCCTAAAAAACATAATGAAAAAAACAAACAAACGAGTCTTGATCGAATTTCTTGTTTTTGATTATTGACGAATATACTTTTACATTGACAAGCTTATTAAATAAATACAAACTGCTATATCGAACATTTTCTGAGTTTGCCATATCGGTTTTTCGGTAAAACGGATTGTCACGATATAATAATAACGGATTTTGTGTCTCTCCCGTCGAATTCGTTATATCGACTTTCACTGTGTAAATAGGTACTCGTATCAATTAGATAACATGTTTGTAACATCTCAGACAAACACGTTTAAAATTTATACGGAAAGTGTCATTATAATTAAACAAGTACTTATATCCTCCGTATGTTTGGATAGTTATGTTTGAAATCATTGGGGAAGGTGTCATTTTTATTAAATAAGCACTCATCCTAGCCAATTTTTAACATTTCAGACAGTTGTATTAAAAATTATACTGATAAGTATTCGTATCGTTCGTATATTCAGACGTACGGTGTTATTTGATATTTAATAACTATTCATGCCATCCATTTCTATAGCATTTCATACGGAGCATTTAAAAATCGTACGGAAAGGTGTTGTCCTAAAAAACAAATGGTTATATCATCTGCACACATGTAACATTTCAGACCAATATATTAAAAAACGTGTCACGGACGAATAACAGATTATTTATAAATTCGTAAAACTTTATCAGATACACTGAAAAACAATTGTTTTACTTGGAAGCAATCATTATTTCCATTAGATACTAGGCAATAATCTGAAGCAATCAGTCAATTGTTTCATAACGAGATATGACTATTTTATCTGAACCTATGAAAAATATGCTGGACTCGACAAATTTGGCGCAGAAAACATCACATGTTTGTGTAATGTAAGTAAAACACACACAGATACATGGACTGGCGTTCTTATAGTCCGATAGCTTTGTGTTTCTCGCTAGCTCAAGCACAGAACGGACATCCTCATTCCAATAATGCTGACGTTTTGACAGTACGATTTGAAAAAGTTTTGTCTATGATTTTATTTATTCAAGACATGTAATAAAGACTGTATACATGAACCCAATGGACGTGACTTTTTCAATGCAACAAAGACAATCCCAATGCAACCTTAAAGACGCAGAAGAAGCATTCGAAAAATATATCAAAACACATGGTAAGCAACACACGTTTATTGGGAGGATAAAAAAGAAGTCTTCCAAGAGTTAACTATGCGTGAATTATGTTTTAGGGAATTATTTATTGGTCAAGAATTCATTCTCATGTATTCTGTGGCGCATGTGTATTACCTTAGATCACTTGATCGTAAAAGTGATAGAGTACTAAAATGATAAATTCGGGTGGTATATATAAACGACCTTTCCCCCAGGCGGAAAAAGTAAGTTGGTTACTTGAAAGCAAAACTACTTCCCTGGTATGGTTTCATCTCTTGTAAAAAATATTAACATCCGTCAGTTGTTATTGAAAGTGTTGTATTATTGTTATTATTTTTATTTTTTATTTTTTTTTATCTCGATACCGATACTTTGATATAGGCCGGGTTGCGGATGCTCATTAATTGATGTTCCGTTGTAATTTGCAAGCGGGTATGTTATTTATATTTTCCCGTTCTCCCTCTCTCATCCCACGCTGCCTGCCATAAAGAATGTCTCATACCTTCAACAGTATGGGCTAATATATACCCAGTAGCAAAGAATTGTAGGCCAGAACAATGGTATGCTTGTTGGGGATTTAAAAAAAGGAATTGAATAAGATAAAAGTTCGATAAAAGTAACTTTAGGATAACAGATGATTTTTTTCAAATGTCGCACATCAATGCCAAACCCCATTCTTCACATTTAACAGCCCTTGATGGGAAAAATATAAATGACATTAAGCACAATTATGTGTTCGGTGCAGGAGAACATTGAATCGGAAGGCAATGGGAACCATTGATAAAACCGTTGTTGCCTCAAGGTGAGCGTTATACTTGTATTGTTAATCTACTGTTAGAATTGTAATTATCTATAATACTGCAGAATGTCGTAAAATTACTCTTGTTGTTATTAAGAAGTAGACAAAAGCTGCGAGTATATACTGTTACATTTCGCGAACCGGGTGATGTTACTGAACCTGGCTCGCAATACTACGCTTATTATAATAGTTGCTTCACCTACACCCTGCCAAAAGTATTCATCACTCCTTGCAATTTACTGTAAATTTTGAAAATCCTATTGTCCATGCTATGTAAAATTACAATGATTTTTATACAGTGCGGTATTTATGTTGCATGATTTTCATACATTTTCATATCATCCCTCAAAAGCAACAGTAGAAAATATTCTGTATATTCATTATATATCAATATGTACAAAGAAGATACCCACAACTGTTGTGCCTTTGTCAAAACACTCCGCCAAATTTAGCCTTAAACGGGTTACAATGCATGCAGTTCAGAAGAGCATGAGAAAGTATGATTGTGCTACAACGGTTAGAGTAATAAATAAGCTTTATTATTATATTTATGTAATATCTTATGAGCAGCGGTATAGAGTAATAAATTTTTTTGCACGAGCTGGACCATTGGCAGGCCACTAATTATAGTGGTCTTGCACTGCAGGGTTAACAAAAATACCTCGAACCAAAATATTTGTATTGCATACATATACGCGTTTGAAGAGTTTCTTTTCGTACATGTGATATTTTTATACATTGAACATACCGGTATTGAATACTCAACGAATAAATGCAATAATAATAGTCATCATTGATTATAAATAAAGATAAGAGAAAAGATTTACGTTATGGATCATTTAACCCGTCCTCCTCCTACAACGTCTACCTCTGCTAGCTTCCAATTCACTATTAAGAACTTGGCTACTCTGGCTAAACCACTATACAGTCCTGTGTTCTCCTCTGGCTCGGATCAGCAACTCTGGCAACTCGGAATACGGCCGGTACAATTTTTTATTTGTCGTCTTTAGGCTTGGTTCCAGCTTATTGAATACAACTGATACTTACCACAGGCTCAAGACGATAAGGAATATATATCTGTTTATTTATATTTATTACCTAATAATCGTGAACTAAGAAATCTTGAAAGTTGGAAGATACGTTGTAAGGCAACTTTACAATTGATCGATGAAGAGTGGAGAAGGGAGATCGTGACAGTAGTACTTCGAGAATTCTCCATACGTGCTCCTTGTAAAGGTAATAACAATTCCCTTCGTCTACACCAAATCATTCTCTCTCTGATTTCTAATAAAGAAACCTTTCCATCACACAGGCTGTTCTCACTTCATAAAGCGCTCTGAAGTACCCGTTAATAAAGTCCACTTTAAGATCAATTTTGCCAATGTAGATTTTAGCGAAACTGCAGTCAGGTGGAGCGATAATCACTGTCCGATTCCACAATCTCTTGTCGATTCCTGGTCCGGTGTTCTCAAGAACTCTCGTTTGGCTGATGTCGTGTTCTATGTCAACGGACACGCAATTTTAGCCATGAAGGACGTAATATGTGGAAGAAGCATATATTTCCGTAATATGTTTGAGAGTGGATGCGTCGAGTCCCGTCGAATCCCTATGGCGGAAACGAAAACTTGGAAAGATGTCGATGAAGAGAATGAGACTGCGGAAGATATGGTTTTAGAAAATGATCGTATGTCTTTAGGAACGAAGCAGTCAAACGAGACTGGTTTTGGAAACAGTCATGGCATCACCACTGCTGCCAAATCTCCGTTATTTAAACGAAATTCACAAATACTCGATGCAAACAGAAGTGATAATACATTTTTATCCGAGGAGGAACTCGAAGAGGCTTATCCATCCAACTATTACCATGTAGTCAACGTCACAGACTGTGATCCTAAAACTTTCTCCCATTTCCTTCACTATCTCTACACCAACGAGATAACTCTCAGGGACGGAACCGAGGCGTCTGATATTAATTCGCTGTTTCTCCTATTCCAAGTTGCTGACAAATACCAAGTGAATGATCTGCGAGGTAGAATACTTTTGAGGATATACAAAAATCTGTCGGTTGCCAATGTTGCAGAGGTTTTGTTTGCTTCAACTCAGTGGGCCGATTTGAAGCAATTGTGTATGGATTTTGCTATAAACCATTTTACGGAGGTTAGGGAAACTGATGGATTTAGTAAGGTTACGGAAAATCCATTAGCATATTCTGGGTTCGCTGAAATTGCAAAGGTTCTCTTCAAATCCATTAAACTTGCTTAATGGATGATTACAAGATTATGAGTGGTAGTAGTTGTAGTTGTAGTAGTTGTAGTAGTTGTAGTAGTTGTAGTAGTTGTAGTAGTTGTAGTTGTTGTTGTAGTTGTGGTGGTGGTGGCGGTGGTGGTGGTGGTGATTATATTAGTATGGATGAGTATTAGTATGAGGATTAGCAAGTTGTAAGAGCAATAGGAATAGACGGTAGTAATGGACTAGTTGTTCACACTAAGTAGCCTTCCAATATCTTCATGGAATAATTATACTATTTGCTATAATAACAAAGTTTATTTAGTGCCAAAAAACACTACCATTCGCTTCGTGTTTTGAATTAATGATTTATTAGATACGGGATGGGTACATCATCTGTAAGAAGCAACGCGTGCGATAATTGAAATTTTGTGTCAGTTGAATTAGCAACAAAATCGACAAAGTTTTAAAAAAAACTATGGAAAGAAATCTTACAATGCGAACTGAAGCCCCAAAGGTCTTTGGCGGAAGATTCTTTCTGAATCTTGCTTTCACTACTCCACCATTTCCATGAGGACTAAACAAGACGACAGTGAGTAAGCTTACGGACGTAATTAGCAGTAAAGCAACAAGGAATATGACGATTACTACTGCTACTACTACTACAAAAATAATAATGACAAGTACCGGGCTATTCGACCCCAAATGATACGGATCTTACTTCCATCTTTCTACAAAGAGTAAATGCCGAATCGGAAGTAAGCAACCAAGTCTTCTACAGCTCCAACATCGATTGTACAAATCTCACCTCTCGCTTGGCTCGGTAAACGTAAGCAATATGTTTACCAAGATAGAATTGTGTTTCTTCTTTAGCAGTCACACCTTCGATCTTGACTAAAGTAGTATTTGGCGACTGATTTACTTTGGAGCGCTTGTACCCAAGAACACGTCCTTTAGCGTAAAGACTATAAAAAATAGACATGTATATGCAAGTTTAGTTTTTGGTTCATTTTTAAGATCATCTATTCATCCATCCAGTCATCCATTTCAATCCTCTGTTCCATGGATGATAAAAATACTGTTTACGTTCCAGAGTCTCTATTCAGACAAAGCCTTACCGAACAGCCTTCCCCATTTTGTAAGATATGTGTGTAAGAAAAGAGAAAGACCAGGCGAAAAGGATGGGCAAATTTTGGTGTCGCGAGTCAGGTGATCAAAATTTTGCCCGCCAATTAAACCCGTATGAACAGCTCTCCCGCAAATACTGTAAATATATTCGTTCGCGTTGTCAGCTAATCAAAGAGTAAAACAAACTAAAACACAACAAACAAATGAGCCATCACGGTAAACGTCTATGGTGGTAGGTAGCTATTACAAACATTTGGGATTGATTGCTGTACAGATCGCAAAGAACATTACTTAATAGTTAAAGTTTTACTATCATATTACGAGTAACTTTGTCAGACCAATTGATCCAATTGTGAATACTATATATATGCATAGGAAATAAACCTTATAGTTCTGTTTGATATGATATTGTTATGTAATTATCCGATTCATTCCACTTTATTTTTATCTCGGAGACACAGGCCCAGCCTGCAAGAGGACAGTCGATGGGCTGCCAGTCATATTCTACGAATCGAAAGTTATCAATATCATTGGCAGCCTGGACTATGTCTTTGTAAACCATGATTTAGAGTACAGAATAAACATACACTTATGCATCCTTCAATTGATATCAACCCTCTTGGTGCACATGCAGTGTAATGTTAACGACATTGTCGATCCGCTTATCTGCAAATGCGCTCACAACATCGCAGCGAGACAACCTTCAATTCTCTCGCAAGTTCTTTATCAAAAAAGGGAATAGAATAACGAAAACGAAAGAGTCGACAACAGACATGTAAAGTCAATAGCCATTTTAACGGAAATTGAGCTAAAATTCAAATATTAATATGTCTGCTCGCATTTGGAAATTCATTCAGCGCCTTATCACTCTATATATACATGCATATGTTACAAGAATGAGTTGATTGGCTGATAGACAACTCCAAAAAAGAATATCGTTGTGCGGATTTTATATTACACTGTATGTACAGTATATAAACATGTACCCGGAGTGTGACAGTAGATCACGCCAAGTCGAATATCATCTATTGGTAATTAAATTGTTGTTTTTTTGTTCAAGCTTCCTTCACCAGGATTGTCGATAGTCTAAATTACTAATATACCTCGTATGCAAAAGGTTTTTTCGTCGACTAAACATTGTCCATACTCTCAACTAAGTCTCGTGAGATACAAGCTATTGTTTAACGCTTACCGTCCTTGATAGGTGTTTGTTATGCAGAAATAACGTTCGAAGTTTCCAAAGGTCTTCTACGTACCAACAAACATGAGCTAGTTAACAACAGCTAGGCAGCAAATTACTCATTGTGTTATTATTATTTGTATACAAATAGAGTTCAATATTATGTACCCATGTAAACAATGCCAAGTTATAAATACCAAAAAACGGAGGTCAGGGTCACAAAATCGAAACCGAATTCTACCCCAATTCTAAGCATGCTAATAACAAACGTAAACCAGTAATGCCAAGAAAAACTTTCAATAATTAGTATTTTACCTGCCATTATTTATTTTCTGTTCGTTGCCAAATAAAGTGTTAGATATTGGGATTACATAATTAAAAGTTGTGTATGTCAAGCTGTCTAGTTTGACAAATCTTGTACAAGCGCAAGATACAATCACGACATAATTGTTAGGCGTTATCTATTCTCTTATCATCCTTTCATTGATTTTACAATTGATTCTGATTATCTAAACACTTAAAGTAAAGTAACAATTATCTGATGTGCGTACAACTTGGCAAATAAGGATATATTGGCTTCAAGTCTTCTAAATATACACTCGTGTACTTCTTCTGAATGCAAATCTGTATAATTGTGACCATTCTCTATGTTTAAAAGAAGCTACAGAGAACATGAAAGTAAAACAGTTGGGAAAATTTTGTCAAAGCTCGTAGTTGAAAATAGAGCGACTAAACCTAGTGCATTTATGGTAAACGTATTAATTAATAAAAGAGATAAGGTTTTGCGTCAATAACGAAATAAGGTACTTGGTACTTTGTATTCGATATATAATAGTAGCGTATTATGAATATCTACACTGTTAACGATATTCTGCCCACGCACAACCTTCGCTTGTTATGTCTTTACTTGGGTATAGTTTTTATACAATGTAATATGGAATATCTATCTAGCAGAAACGATTTCTTATTCAAAAAAACTTACTGCACCAAAACTAGGAAGTCTCCGTTACGATTGCTGATCCCAACACCCGAAGTGAGTGGAAACCGCCGGCATATCGATGTTTTGTATAAAGTAAATAATAATAACCTAAATTTTTGTGTTATAGTCTCACCAATTAAGGTAATATATGTATATCGCATCAATTGCATCACATTTATCATGTAGTAGGTTGCGGTAATACTTTCGGGTCACACATGTTAACGAAACAGAAGAGAGAGGAGAGCAAACTTTTACAATCAGGAGGAAAACCGTCAATTTTAACTGGCTAATTTGATGATCGACGATTTGCTGCGAAATCCAGCATTAAAACCTTATCTAAACCGTCTAGACAACAGTGCTATTCGGAGAATGTATAAAACACATGTCACTCGGAAACTTACGGTCCAAAAAGGTTAGCGAGCAAGCTTTCTCCTCTCATCAGACAGATCTTTCTAAAGTAGGAGACATGCAGGTAAGAATCAAAGCAAAGTAATATCGATCTGCATTTGATACAAATTTTACTGGCCAATTAATGCGCCTTGGTCTTTTTTGTAAATAAGTAAGTCAATCGGTTGAAACTCATTGGTAGGACCCCGTGAAATTGCTATTTTAATAGCAACAATATAAACCAGTTACTAAAATAGGCACAAGACCGACATTTTTGTGAATTACGGTAAAAATTGAGCAAAAATGACCAGAATTGATTGTGTTGCTTATGAGTTACGTAAATAAGGTCACTTATCGTGTTCTCATTCTGCTAATACCCCTCAAATCGTTCTAATTTCTAGCACTCCGTCCCGGTAAGCGGACGATAGAAGCCAAATTTATATTCAACATGCATAACATACAAACAATCGGGCATCAGTAAATACTTGGGGACTCTTATAGGTAAGGATTTTTTTTTTAAAGTCGGCAGCATCGATGTTAACCATGGTTTAAAAAGAAGGAGTTATATAAACGTATCTAAGAATCGGACAATTTTATGCGTAGTTAGCACGGATGGCTAGAATACAACAACTTGACAATCTTGTTTACATGGGCCAGTTATTTAATAAGCTTTATTGCTTCCTAGAGATAATCCCGTACTCTGTATCGATTCTCAAATATTAATTTTCATTCTCGATCTCTTTACTCAACACCGCTAGGTAAAGATCAAAATTTTGTTTACAACATTTACAGTTTATAAGTATTTGAACAGATACGTGCTAACGCAAGCTTAGATGTCAGCTTTATGTTATATTAAATCTTAATTTCTTAGATTGGGAGATTAATAACAAAGAAGAGGTGTCCAAGAGGTGTCCAAGAGGTGTTCAAGAGGTGCGGGGGACGGTAACAGAAGCCTTAAGTTGTTGATATAGTATAAATCTTAAACTATCGGTTTTGCCGTCCCACACGTCCGGTACGAGCGCCGGTTTCTTTTCGATAACTTTAAAATAAAAGTTTATCAGTATTAGTTTACGCAAAATAATAGTAAGTATTATCACATTTTAACTTTCTACGTACTATACACTCCAAACATAAGTAATTCAGCAATTAACGACAAATTTTTAATAGATTATAATACTATTGAAGAACGAGTAATTCACGGGCTGCGTTATAAACGCCTAATTATAAAACAGGTAAATATTTTCCAAGTAAAACACCTTATTATTTAATTACTGTCTAATTGACACACTCTTACTATGCCTCTAGCCAGCTCCTCACTAACCCAAAACCTATAGATACATACATATCCCGACAAGCCTTTGTTGTTCGTTTACTATTATTTGTATTATCCTGATGTGCAGCGGCAACCGCCTGCCAGTTTCCATTATTGGTGGCACCCACATAGCGGGCCATACGTGTAATAAAAGATATATCCTATTTTCAAACAAAAGAATGTCGAAAGAAGGGAGAGAGAAACAGAGACGTTAGCAGTATATTGAGAAGACGTGCGTACAAATACGCATATGTTTTAAAGGTAAAACAATGCGGGTCAACGAATGTAAACGTGCGTCTCCGTGTATAAACGACCAACTTACAGCTCGGCTTAGTCCATTCATGTTTAGAGCAGCAGAAACAAAATAAAAGAGAGGCAAAAACCGTTGTTTATGTGGTAACGGCGGCTTGTACACAGTTGCTGCTGCACATGACATAAAATGTATCATGTATAGCGGTTTTCGAAGAATCACAAATGGAGTTTACAATATCCATGTGAAACGCGTATAATTGAAATAGTAAATGATTTAGAAGTTTTTTTTTTTTTTTACTATTTTAAGAGTTGCACAAATAAATTTTTGAACAATACTAACGCCAATCTACTGATTTCTTTTTTAAAAAACTCTAATTTGTGTAATTGATAATTTAAACCAAATAAGACCATATTATTGCAGTTATTTGCATAGCAGACAACGATCTTATCCAAATAAAAAAAAAGAATAAATAACGTTATTGCTTTTGTTTACTACTCTATTTGCATGATAAATTGGGCAATGGATATGTAACGGTTCACTTTTTATTCACATTATTGTAATTCTGGATGTTATTTAGAGCTCCAAATGAGGCTTATCAGCTAATCTACCAGCTTACTAATTAATTAAACTCCACCAATTGCATAGTAAATATAAGCTAAAATAGCATGTTATTCGTGCCAAAGTGTTTCATGACGAGAAAGGCAGACAAAGATTATCAAGAGATGATTTATCATCAAACAATATGCGGTTAACTCTCCTTATAGTCACCCCCTCTATAAGCACATTATATAAAAAACGGTTTATAAGCACATCATGTTTGAGAATCAATTGCTATTGAACTTGTAGAAAAACCCCTATAGTCACAACCTCCGTATAAGCACATTTTCAACAAAGTTGCATTGTTCCCGACTATAAATATATAGGTATATATACAATGACATTAAATATAATTTTAGATAAAATTATCCCTCTTCATATTATCGCTATAATAAAAAAGTCAAGGTCCCTGACGTGCCCCGAATAATGATAATCGAATTGCAAACTATAACTGGTGAATGTAATTTCTCAAATTGGCATGATCTGCAACTCGATTTTGCCTCGCAATCCAGTTGTTGCAAGTATTGGACTTTTTAGACCGCTTCAGACATTCCTTTACAAAACATTGGATTTTACTTAACGCTCCGACTCTTACTAAAAAAACCGCTAATTTACGAGGAGCAAGTTGTCATGCACACAACCAACGCAAACAAGGAATATTCGAAAGGATTACTGAGATATTCAAATAATTGAGTGCAAGCCAGGCAAGACCCCTAAAACGTAATTTCCAAAACGTTGTTATACAACATATTGGCTTGTTGATACAACGATAACAGCGGTTTATTTACGAGTGCCATGTAACCATACATGATTATTTTACACACAGAAAACCGATGACTATCGTAGCATCGTACAATTTATTATTTAATATGGACGTAGCCTGTTGATAAATAGTCTTCTTCAAACAATTGCTGATAACACAGGAAGTAGATATCATCCTCACACGATTTGTTCTTTATACATGTTCTGCCAATAAAAAAACACTTGATGTAACACAAGGTATAAATTAGTTAAAATCACACAATTGTATTATCATACGATTTTCGATATGTTGACAAATCAAACAACTGCAAAGCAGTTAATAAGTCTTGATTGCTTAACCATAACAGTGTCTCATCATACAGCTTGGTCTTTAATCATGCCATAATTTGTCGACAAATAGTCTTTTGTCGATTAGAACGTGAAGTGCCATACCCTATTAAGGAAACTGGCAATCACAATAAGTCAATTTATATATATTACGCAATCATATGATTTATTCTTCAATTATTGACAGAGTCCATCGCAAAACATGGAGTTGGTATAGACGTTGCAACAGCAGATTATAGGGTCAGTAACAGCAATTATACAGTAATAACCTGTAGTAGAACAGACCGGGTTAATAACCTTTTTTAATGAACTGACTAATAAAAGAAGATAATAACATTCTTGTTTACTGGAGAGAAGATGTAATATATTAGCGTTGTAATAAACAATTTGGAGAGACACAATTAATAATTTGGCAATGCTATAAGCCGTCCAAAGGTATGGTTATTTTCAGTAGTGAATATGCTCAAAGTTAATCACTGTCGAAGTATTAATGGTCAGTAATTCTTAATAACAACTTAGCTTTCATACAGTGTTTTATTCTTCGGGACAAAAAATTTGATTACAGGGCTGACAAACTGGTAATTATTCTTCGCCAGAACAATCTCAAATTTGTTTAAAAGTACCTTTTCTCTAACAATGAGTCTGTTTACCATTACTGACTTCAATAGTTCGCTTTCAATCCTGAATAACAGCGAAGCATTTGAATAAAAGATATGACAATGAAAGCCAGTTTTTTAAAGGAGCAAGGTGGGTTGAAAGAGGAGCGTCTGGAGCTGGTAGACAGTGAGGTTATGCATAGGTGGGAAAAAAAAGGCGTTAGGAGAGTTGATAAGCATACCAAACCTCGTTATACCGAGTTTGCGTTTTATTGAGTAATCATTTCTCCTCCTTTTCCCAATAAATAGATTTTCTCGTTATAACAAATTCTAGTAGTGAATCGCATTATACCGCTGCTAGAGAAAGTGACTGCCGGTGAAATGGCTGTTAGTAAAATTAACTGTCGGTGAAATGACCTGGAAATGGAATGATTCTATCTGCGAAATGATTATCGATGATATGATTACCTCTCGCTTACGTCTAGCGTAAACCGAGACGCATCACATATTCCTGGAGAAAAAGGCAGTGATTACCGACGGAGACGTCATTCACCCCGTCCTGACTGAAGCATTTAACAACATGTTGTCGAACGAAGAGACTATTCATTTCTTCTATCCACTTATTTACGACGCCCATTGCTGCGAAATCGGTCCGTTGGGTAAATTTAAGTTTTGTTCGGGATTAGACGAAAAGGTTGTACCCGAAACTGCTGGCTTTATAGCTGTTGTATCTCAGTGCGGGACCATTTCAGTCTAGAACTCAGTCAGTACTCAGTTGTCTGTTTCGGCCCAGAATCCAGCCTTCTCAGCCCAGAACTGAGACAATTCCATCAAACTTGCTGCTAGCAGCAGACTTGTAAGTATTTTGTATATACATGCAATTTGGCACTATATATCTTAGTAACTTACCATCTCAAAAACCGTATTGCAGCCCTCACATTCTTATAGACACGTTCGCATTTGTTAATTGCCGGTAACTAATGGGATAATCTGTCATAATTATAAGTTGGTATTATTTACAAATAAGTAAAGAAACAGATATTAGTATAGAGTATTAGAGCCCGAATATTAAACATTACCGTTACAATACTTATTGAATTATACTGAGGTTTTATTCGCAGTTTTTTTACTACCTTAGCTTAATTAATAATGTAATACCACAGTTTTCTTTGTCGGTTATGCGCAAACGCTTTTCTTTGTTAATACAAACTTTAATTTATAAATATCACCTGTTTGTCAATCTTTATTTGATAGACATCGCCCTACTATTTAATCACACAAAAATTTATTATTAGAAGTCAATACATATTGTGACTGTTGTGTAAAGCAAGAAAATTATGGTACGAGTTTGACTATTAAACCAAAAATAGACTTTAAGAGAAATTATTCCTTCCATTGTTCCTTCTCTAAAATAATAAAATTTGATTGACACTTGTCGAATTAGCAGGCCAGAATGTTCGTCGGTGTTGTATCTCATGCTCAGACCAGCAGCTTGCACTTTTCGATAAACACTTTGGGCTAAATGAAAATGACAACCCTTGTTCTGTCAGAAGCTACGGACAACTTTTCCAGGACTTAATCGATTACAGTGATGAAAATGGGACACAACTTTAGCCACAGTTTATATTAACAGACTTTGAACAAACTGCGATCAATGCTACTCGCGCAAAATTTGGAAATGTCCAGGGGACGTTCATTTGTTCGACAGTTGTTATCACTCCCCCAATGCTAATGTCCATCCATGATCCAAAAAATTGATTCTTGAAGATGCCGAATGTTGTTGATGGTCGGAGGAGCAAAACTCTATCTTCACTAATGATAGAATCTCTAAAGATCCATCTAATGTTCTTGTTAAATGTTTGGGAATATCGAGGTCTTCTAGGGTTGTGGGTTCCAAAGGAGATTCGGAATTACGAAGTCGGTTAATTGTCACTGGATGGAAGGTATGGGTGTATTTCGGAAGGGCCACTAGTAGTCACAGTTTGAATTATTCGTGCAGGTAGTTCGCCCGTGTCTTGCGCCCTTCCTTTCAACGCATTAACTGTTTGCAAAACGGTTACTCGGCTTGCTTCCGCATAAGCGCGATAAGTTATAAGCTATAAATTGATTTAAAATAATAAGAAGTCTTTATAGAACGTCTGTACAGGTTGTCTAAGTTTTGTGAAATTGGCTAGATCGTATCAAATTAAATCAACGACATTATTTCCTTTGTTTCTAATCACTTCTACGATTCCATGGTATTCTTAGCTTGTCCCTGTTGTACCTCAGTTCGGGACCATCTCAGTCCAGAACTCAGACATTTCAGTTTTCTGAACTTATTTGATAGATTAAATAAATTCAGCGTCTGATCAGAAGATGAGGTTTTGCTTGTACCATTAGCAGACTAGATTCGACATTTTAAGTTTGTTATCAGGCAATAACTGTTTTTGCTTTTAGCTAATTATTAAAACTGCGGTCGATTAAAATTCCTAATCCTCGTTTCAGGTATGCATGCGCGCGTAATGAAAATCTTCAAAGATATGTATACTAACAAGAATAAGAACTTTCGAGTATACACTAAGACGGAATAAAGGTTTGTTTTTTTAAAATCGTGTTTGTTGTTAGCTATTGAATAAGTATTTTTTGTTAACCGTGAGATTAAAATGTCGAATGTTTTTATATGTTGTGTCTGAGTTGGGACTGTCTCAGTTTGGAACCCAGTCAGTTCAGGTCCCCAACTGAGGTACAACACTCACAATAAAGTCTCCTGACAAAATTTTTGGTTTTCACTATCGACCCACATTAACGGTCATTTATACTTTAACTTTTCGCTCACTTTCGATTTACCCACCGAATATGCCTGTCAAGTTTTAATTTTGATATGTTGTTCGAGGTAGACTAAGTGTTCTTATTTCTTCAAACAATTAATGATTAGATGGTATGAAACGTTGATTGTCATCGAAGACACTCAAATTAAGTCCGCTGTTCTATTCTACTTAACAAATTCACGTCTGGTTAGAATACGCTTTGTACTACCCCCAATTGAGCCTGTACTAATATGTTGAAACTGTTGCATGCCCCAGCCTCCGGAGATAAGATTTCGTCATACTTAATATTGAAAAGTTTTTCCGAGTTGCTAATATACGTGTATTATAAAACAAACCAACTTCTTATTTTTAGCGTTCAATGTTTATTGCCAAGAGACATTCTAAAAATTTAGCTTCGAGATGAGATAATAAATGGAATGTGTAACAAAGGCTAAAACTTTAATATAATAATAAATTATAAAGATGTTTAGATTTCTGGGAATCAGTTTGGAGTTTTGCGTTCTTTATTTGTTTACACCTACGATTGAACGCTAAAGGTGTAGGAATCAGTTTAGAACATGGTAATACAAACAACACTATTCATCGCCATGTGAAAAAATAACAAGTAAATTACAAAATAATATCAATATCATCTAAACGAAAAAATTATACTCACTGTATCAAGTAAAGTTTTTCACCTAACGCTATAGTAATAGCTCTGGACATTTTAGGTTGTGTTTGATTCACAAAAATTCCTCCCCTTAACTTTGCGCACAACGAGATTGAGATTAAGTAGCATGGAAGAAGAAAAGAAGATGTAAGAACAGATCAAGGTTACAGAAAGCTTATTGCTACAGCAGCACACATATAGATAATACTGTAACATACACAAAAGGGGTTTGTTGTCGTTATCTTTTATTTATGTCTCTTTATGGTACACTTCAATCATCCGTTTGAATAAACACTTGATGAGATTCGTACGTTTATCGTCACCTTATACGGTAGTGTTTCTAACCGCTTTTCTCGGTGGAAGGTGATGAAGTGATTTTAATAGATAACCATGATTTTGTTTCTACTACTTGGATTAAATAGGGAGCTAACCAAATAAGGAATGACATATGGACAGGGGAATATGAGACTACGTCAAATGGCGATATTATGGTTGCAAGTCTTACACCGATTAGACAATAGTAAATAACTATTGTTTGCGCACATTTGTTTATACTGTTTTGGTAATATGGGACAAATATGAAATGGCAAGTCTTATTTCACATCGTATGCACCATATACGTCAATTCGTAGCGACCAGTCATGTAGTGCCAAGTTTGAAACAAACTTTTTGAAACATGTATGGACTAATGTCTGCATGACACATGGCAGTAATTTACAATATTTGCTGTACTGGGTTGTGTAATTACGCTAGTCTTACACGATAACCGCTCGTAGGAAATCTTTTTTATTCTAGATGATAAAGAAGGTAAATTTTCTAGGAGAAATTGCCTATTTATTATACTTTGTTATTGACTACAATTGTGTAGGTAGATACATATTAACGCATGCTTAAATCTTAGACTTATGGTATATTAAACTCATGTAATCTTAGTTGGGAGACATAAACAGTTATTATTATATTCTATAATTTCAATAACAAGTTGTTTTTATCCAGCTTCTTCTTGGGAAGAAAAAAAAGATTGTCGAGGGTATTGCCAATAAAATCTTTTTTTTTGTGCCCGTGGCCAATGGCTGGAGTAGGAGCTCATGTATTATGATTATAGTAAGCAGCAATCGGCGGGAAATAGTCTGATATTAACGATTTCATTGTCTTCCGACGCGACCAACGTATCTGCCTGTTAATTTGTCATGACTTGAAAAATTTGAGAAAATTAGTGATTACTTGTGCGAAACATGCTATTATATACGCTTCAACACCATATAAGATGGGTATTTAACGAATCATTTGGACGCCGCTTAAGCTCTCATTGATAATATGCGGCAATTTGATTATCATATTTGTCACTAACTTGGGGTTTTTTATAAATATCAAACTTTTCTTGTTTGTACGTACATGCCTTTCCACATTCTTGGAGTTTTTCTCACTCCAATTCTTTTATATATTTCGTCGGCGATCAAACGCCAGTTATTATTGTATAGATTTGCAAATCCCAGGACTGATTGAGCCTCCTGATGAAGAAAGTCAATAGTATTGTACGTTAACGAAGAATACAGTGGGTATAGACTGAAATTTTTGCACTTACAGCTCGAGTAAGTATGGGTTTCATTTTTTTGTTTCAAAGTGCCAGATGCAGACGGAAAGATAAATAAAGAAACAAAAAACCGACGGACAGTTACGTTTATATAAGCGTAAAACTCGGAAATTTCCATCGAACGTAAATATACACATGTATTATATAGTGTTAATATAATGTTCAAATAATAAAAGTAAAATATAATTGGTAATTAAAGCGTAAAGGGGCAAAAATAAAGGAGGCAAGGGAATAAAGTGTAAAGGTAACAAACACTGTTTAAAACGGATAACAAGAGCTCGGATTGATAAGCTACATAAACCATGTCTTCTGTAAGGGGCAAGTTCTTCTACAGAGATTGGTCAACATAAAGCGGTTATAAAAAAAAGACGCGTTATGGATATATGTTGCTAATTATTTATATGCAAAATTCATTTGTTAAATTTGCGTATTACATGTATATAAACAAAATTAACTTTGTCTGAAATGACGTATTATAAATCAACATTATAAATTTGCAATACAAATATATTATTTTACATGGTTAATTTAAATTTGTTATTCTGATTCAGATCAAAAGCAATGACTAATACATATGGACATACATAATTAGTTGAACAATAGCTTGTTGATTCGAATGTCTTTTTTTTCCCCCTTACTTTAGGAGAAAAATAGAGCCAATAATTTTGTAAATAATTAACTGGATAGCCACAATCATAATAAGCGCCACACAGATGTCAGAAATATTTTCACACCCAACTTTATTCTGTTGCGAGTTGACATATCAGGTTTAACAGGCGGGAACTTTATTACCAATTTGAAAATGGCATGACCGTTGGTGTCGAATAGAAATCGTCTTGGTTGTTATCATTACCCGATTTTGCGGCGCCTACTAATTATTGTGGCTGCCTAGTAAAACTGTGGCACAGAATCTGTTTCGCTTTACAGCTACCCCCGAATTTTACAATACATGCTTATATAGTTATAAACCCGTTTGTTCTCATCTCTTATTTATTGTTGCGCGTTTCAAACATTAAAACGGAATAACAATTGGCCGGTTCAGTTAAAACGCACAATTACGCGTAACAAACGAGGGCGTACAGATCAGACAAGTTTAAACAAGTCTCGCTAAACTCTTTGTCAATACAAATATGGCTAATATATAAATTAAGCCCAAAGGGCATTAATAGATTTATATTATTATTTATTACCCTAAAATGTTACTTTGATTCAAGTGTAATGGGTGCTCACTTGGATTTTGCGTTCCTTTATTAGTAATGGGTGCTTGATTCATTTCATCCATTTTTCTGGAATTTTGTTACACTGTTTAATAGCATAGAATGTTCTCTATTGGTATAATATAGATGCATAGTTATTATAATCAACCCCCAAATACTACGGCGGGAATACCAACAAATCAATACATTAATTTGATAATTTTGGCGCCAACGTAACATAACAGTCCTTGATAGATTTCAATGATAGATACTATAATCAAGAGTAGTAAAATGCTCAGGGAGCCGTGGCTGATAATCCCCCCTCCTTTTCCATTCCACATAAACAAACAAACAAACAACAAGTCAAACCAATGCTTTACAAGTATGTGGTAGTTCTGATTCGGCTCTGATATTACAGTAATAGAGTCATAGAACCTTATTAAATAATTGTATCTGCGTTATTCAAAATACTTGATTAATGTGATTACTGATGGAATGAGTTTTGTTTGACACAGAATTACGAATAAACGCAAGATTTATTTGTTCGTATTACTAGTTTCTATTTATGGAAAAGCAAATAAGATTTACTAAATATTTATGTGAGTTTGAAAAGAACAAACGATATGACTCTTATCGTGAATCTATGTTCTGTGCTACAAGAGGAAAAATCCAGTTGAAAAACCCGTATTTAAAAAAAAAGGAAATTTTGTCATGCAATTTCCTCACTTCTTTCCCATGTACTGCAACTGTACTACAAACGATAATCTTTACTGAAAGAATGAACATCTCGACAGTCTACGAACATATTAATGTAGAAACTCCACTCACAAATATTACTTTATCGAAAAAAACTCTCTAACATTATTATTATAAAGGGTGGACGTAAAAACATAATAGACAAATTTAGAAGAATAAGAGTTAGTTGATTTTGTAATTAACATTCTGCCAATACTTGAAAAACTAATTTTATAAACCATGTTTTAATAGTAATAGCGTAACATAAGATTAGATTTCAAGCTTCTCAAATTTTCAATCGGCAGCACTATGTCATAACAGGACTTCATTGGCTATGAAACTCTGCTTTGCTTGAACAGACCACGGATAGTATATTTTGCACGGGCTAACTAAGAGGAGTCATTTGAAGAAAAATTTTAACACGCATACTTGGCTGCATAAGCGGGATATTTTATAAAATGTCTAATATTTGCGTAATAATAATATTTATTTTTAGATATTCATACCGAAAAAGTGACTCAAAGTTCAAAGCAAACTTGTGCAAGTAGAAAATTGCTTACGGGTTGACATGTAAGAGAACATGTGTTTGTAATCATTGAATTAATGTACCGACATCACGGATACGATGAATATATTGGAAAATAATAATCTATAATTGTGTGTGTAAAGCAGAACTTATTTAACGTTTATTCAAATTAGATAAATACACTTTAGTCATGCGTAATCAGTTGGAAATAAAAGGTTTCCGCCTTTGGTTTTGCTGTGCGTGATACCAATAAGAGTTATTCGGATAGATTGTAACATATCAATAGTGATCTCCGGAGAGAATCAAGGCTTCATCAAGCAATGCCCGGAGAAAGATTCCCCGAGAGCGCCATTTTCATCTCGATCCATTATAGTTCTATAATTCCGGCCCTTGTACATCTCGGACCCATTTTGGATAATAACACGGACCCCTAATTCTTCTGCTTTAGCCACCAGGCGTTGGCGAAATTGATAGTGGCCCCAACAGAGCATTTTGCGAACGGTTATCCTTCTTGTTTTCCGATTTACCGCGTTTAGCGTTTGAACCCTTAATTCGGTTTCATCGACATCAAAATCAACCGAAAAATACAGTCCATACGAGGTACCTGAGAGCATAATGATAATGGCGACATTCTTTTTATGAACTTCGCTTTGCAGGTGTTTGATTTTTCGTCGCATCCGAAAGATTGCCTTATCAAGTCGCAAGACCTGTTTCTTTTACGTTTTGAACTAGAGGCAGCCAGCTTGTCCTTTATAGAAAGAAGATTATCCATGTGCTTGCATAGACGAATAATTCGTCCAACGTATTGGCCAATTTTACCTACACCTTTAGTAGGAGAGTACCATGTGAAGGGTGTACGAACGCCAGGGTCGATGGAAACTGCATGAATAGTACTATCCGCTTGGGTTTCGCGGAGTTGTTTTTGCGCGAAAAATTTTCACTCTTGCAATCGGATGAGGAACAAGCCCATCCACAGCTGCTTTTGAAGGTGATTTGGATATACATTGATTGGCAGCGTACGATGTTTGTTGCGTGCTGCTATTGTCCTGATTTTGCGCTTTTTTCCTTGTTTGGGGTTCTCGTCGGGCGACTCTTCTTCCTTGCTTGATTGTAAGGATATCTTGGGAAAGTTCGTGCTCGTCGGAGGTCGCTTCGTTGACGAAAACCATGAGTTTTGTAGTATTGGGGGGGGGGGGTTTGCGGTAGGTATTTGAATGGCAGAATCGAAAACGCGCATGAAACATGCAATCTCATATGGAGCCTACGCGCAATCTTATATGGCCTACGCGCGTAAAACATGGAGCCCACGCGCATGCAACATGTAATCTTATATGGAGCGCACGAAACATGTGCTTGCATTGAATGAAGCTATTGTCTACCTGAAGCTTTGACTGCATACAACTCTCTCGGCAATACCATCCGAGTGAGGAATGATTACGCCGCCCATAAAGGCTCCAAAGATACAGTGCGCGAAAAAGGAGGTGGAATAAAATGCATAAACTTTATTTCCTTCTAAAATACGTCTAATCAAAGTCAACTATTCTTATGCATGTAATGCCGACAAGAAAACTCTCACATAACTTTATTTGTTAACACTTGGTTTTGTTATTAAAAATACTACGGTAAGATCCAGTATGTTGGACTACAAGTTTAATAGAGTTAATATACTGTTCAGAACATTAGAACAATGCTCTTGTACAGAAAATGACCTACTTTGCACATTTCTGATTCTCTTTCTTAACATCAGTTTTCCACTAGAAAGAATCCAGTGCAGCCAGTCCCACTCAGCATGCCGCATTCTCCCAGGTCTTTGCCTTTCTGAATCCATGTCTTCAACCACATCATGCAAACTCGCACAACACACAATGACATAATCCAGTCCATTTCTCAACGACGCAAGCATCTGACTCCCATGCAAGTCGTTCGTTTGTTTTTTTCCTCCAAAAAGTCGCCTGCCCGACAAAATAAAATTTGCCGCACGCAGCAGTCTTTCAGCATATAGAAAGATTGAAAACATAATGGCAAACACAATGGCATCTCTCCCCTCACTTCCCACACTGCGCAACATCTTTCAGCCACAGGCCCCCAATGAACCCAACACAATTACCATCCCCGCTCATAATGTGTTGTGGTTTCCGTGGTCTGTCAATTGAGGTTAGTTTGTAATGGGCTAGTTTGGGAAATAACATAATTATGTTATTTCCACTTAGTTCCCCTCATCTATGACGTGTAGATTGCAAAATTCAAGTCATTCGAGTGATGGGTTGATCATAAAGCTCAAGTCATTCGGGTGATGGGTAGATCGTAAAATTCAAGTCACTTGACCAATAATATATACCTAGTGTGACGTGTACACGTAGATTGCCAAACTCAAGTCATATCACATGTAATATAAAGTATATCAGTTTGACGACCGTGGTTAATTTCGATTATAAGATACTCCCCAATTCAGGTTATGACGAGCCATGGGCGACTACTCTGTATGATGCTTTAAAGCTTCTAGAATTTTATATTCGATATCATTTTGTGTATATCGGGTTAGTGTTCATGGCTGATTTCTGTTGCAATAAAATAACTGATTTAGGTTATGATGCCCCCGTGTTGTTATCACGAGTTTGATGGGTCGAATACATTTTATGCGTCATTTGCCAGCTTTCTTTAGGATGTCGAATTCGACAGTATTTATTGTATGCTAAATAAAGATCAGAGGTGGAAAATTAATCGCGCAAATGCTATATCCGGTCATGCTATATACATGTTATCGGGTCATGTTATTGCGAATTTGACGACCCGATTGTGATTATGTCGTCATTTGTAGAGGCATATAGCCAGAGTATATGCCATCTAGTACGTTATATACATGCTATCTGGTTATGCTATCGGGCATATTACATATATGCTATCTGAACATGTATGCGATCTATGTCACGTAATTGCTATCGATTAATGCTATCGGGTATGTCAGCTATGCTATCAAGAAAATGCTATCGAGTATGTTATATTAAAGTGCATTTTGCTTTTTTCGACACACTCGAGTGACGTGCATTTTGCGTTTGCCTCGTCAAAGATGAGACGTTTATAGTCTGCTCACCAGGTGACGTGTAGATTGCAGGAAGGGCGGGTATATAACTCCCATAATTATTATATAATATTACTGAAGTTATACACTCCGAAAATATATCGTTAAATGGGTAGGTTTCTCCCACATTTATTATATAATATTACCAAAGTTACCTACCCTGAAAACATATCGTCAGATGGGTATATAACTTCGTTTTTTCTTATATAATATTACTGAACTTATACACTCGAAGACATATCATTAAAGTGGGTAGTTATCTACCCCGAAAAAAGTGTAGTGTTCTGCCATTTTTCTTATAGTGGAGCTAGTGTCTCTGACACATATACATTACTGCATATTACTACACCCAATCACATACCCCAAAAACATATATCGAAACGGGTATATAACTCCCATTTTTCTTATATAGTATTACTGAACTTATATACCTGAAAACATATCATTGAAAGGGTATTCTTCTGCCATTTTTCTTATAATATATTACCACACTTGAATACCCTTGATGACATATCATCGAATACCTACCCGAAAACATACCAAAAACATATTATCAAAGTATGCCGAAATTTTTGTCACAAGTTGTCACTAGATGTCACTAGTTGTTTGCAGGTACTTGTGACAGAACTTGTGACAGCTGTTTGAGAGTTTCGAGCCTTTTTGTTTCTCTCTTGATTACTTCTCTATATCTGTCACAAGTTACTTAAGTAAAATAGTAGAATTCTAAGGGAAAAAAAATAAAACTCTTCCTATGGTATACCTTTGATATATACCCGATAGTACACACACATATACCTGACACATATATCTAGTACATATATGATATACTCAATACCTATGATACATATACATATATCTGATATATACCTACCTTTGATACATATACATATACCTGTTATATACCTACCTTTGATATATACATATACATATGGTATACCTATAGAAAAAAAGAAAAAAAAAAAGGTAGGACTCAACAAATTAACCTAATAAACAGTAAAAAAAACATCAAATTAAAATTACTTACTCTCTTGGGTTTCTCCATGTAATCTGGATCTGATGAATGATCCTCTTCCTCTGAACTTTCAGTATGATGATAATGTATGGATTTTCTTTTTCTGGTCGATCTCTTCCAGCAAGAAAAGTTATAAATCAGTTTTAATGTAATTATTCTTTAATCCTTAACTGGAATCACCTTTTTTGTAACTTCCACGGTCTCCTCAGCTATATTCTCCATCATACATTGCACCTTACTACTTATATCGACATGGCACCGTTTCTGTACAAGTATATCATTTAGTAAAAGCTCAAAGAGTTATTCAGCCAAAAGCATACTTACCATTTGCAAAGTTCTCTCTGATTCTAGACGTTGTTCTTCGTTATTATTACACATTGACTCAATTTCGTTCCATAAGTTGTTGACATCTTGATTACGAGCTCATAAAAAAAGAATAAGATTTTGATACTGAGATTCTATATGAAAGAATGTTTGCAGATCACAATAGACAGGCAGATCACAACAGACAAGTAGACCATAAGATAAGCAACAAGTAGATGCCCAACATAGTTGTGTGAGTTTTACCCCTTCTCGGGACTGCTGGAAGCCTTCCATACTGTCTGTGACAGACCACAATGGACAAGTAGACCATAAGATGAGCAACAAGTAGATGCCCAACGTAGTTGTGTGAGTTTTACCCCTTCTCGGGACTGCTGGAAGCCTTCCATACTGTCTGTGACAGACCACAACAGACAAGTAGACCATAAGATGAGCAACAAGTAGATGCCCAATGTAGTTGTGTGAGTTTTATCCTTTCTCAGGACTGCTGGAAATCTCCCATACTGCATGCACCATCCAGAAATTTTAATATGACTTACTATTACATCAAATCCTTGCAATAGCATGCCAGCACGTTTCTTAACGTCTTCCGAACTCAGGGATTCCAGACATTTTCGAAGTATGTCAGCCTCCTTTTGAAAGGAAAAAGTAAAATCAACTTGCCTCCTACAATACTGGTAAAACCCCAGGAAGCGGTACTTTTCAGGCGCCGTTTTGGTAAAGTAACCATAGTAGGTGTTCGTCGTGAATGCGGTTATATACTAATGTAGGTATGTAGTTCAAAAGTATTATGACGCGAGTTAGGGACATGTAAATTTTTTGAAAATATTTCGTAATTTTTATACATATGTAACACATCACATGGAAAGGATATTATTGGTTAAAAGTCAGAATTTATAAAGATAAACACGTGAAGTTCTTAATTCCAGCTGGAACTACTAACTAAATGCTGGCAAAAATCGAAATTTTTGGCTAGACCGAAAGAAATTTTCGAAATAATATTTACGTGTCCCTGGCGCGAGTATATTATCCTCACAACGGGATAAATGTAGTTATTGAACCAAAAGAGATTGTACCGATTACGATGCTTGTTTCTTAATTTTAGAGGAGAGCTAATTCGCCGGAGCACTGACTAAGATTGCGCTATCAACGAAATTAAGGCAAACTAGACAGTCTGTACTTGGAATACGAGCAAAGCATTATTTATTACTATTACTATGTGTATGAGACGCACTATATGTGTGAGCCACCCTATATATCTAGTCCGCAAAGAATTTTTCGTCCTAAATTATCCGTAAAGAATTAGGAACAAATAAGTAATGACCACCAACTGGCCCCCGCTCCTTTCTCTCTCCCCCGAATCTCACCTCATCACTCATATCAAGTATACCACTTTTATCATCAACAGGGCTAGGCGCTCTCGCAGTTCGTGTCGACCGAGTCGATCCCCTTCCTTGACGCGTCTTTGCTGGCTGCGCACGCCCACGTCCACGTGCACGCCCACGGCCTCTCCCACGTTTTTTTGGTTCTGGTTCATATGAAGGATCACGGCTAGACGAGACGAGTGATAGATAACTCTTGCATTAATGGTTATGACAAAGGATGCGAAAACTATTGTGAGAATAATTACGTATACGATTTACCTCTCACTTCTTCTCTGTCTAGTGCCCGTTCGCGCAGACGAGTCAGCCTCCTCGCTCACCCTGTTAGGAAAATCATTGTCTATATCCATCAATTCTGTAGACATGTCGGGTGCATTATCCTTATAAAAATTGAGTTAGTAAACAGGATCAAAATCTATGAAACCAATATTTATTTTACACGATATATTTACGCAGACATCACCCGCAATGCAATAATACTCACCTCTGCGGCATCTGCATTGTTTGACTGCTCCAACCAGTCTAATGGATCACTTGATCCACGAAATTCTGTTCTCATTTCTTCTGTAATAAGACGCATCTGACGTATACATGAAAGAAAAAAGCGTTGTAAAGTTGTTCCATATATGGAAGGAAAATAATTAGCAACGGACGTAATTATGCCAGTGGCGATAAGCACAAACCGCATCAGTAGTCAAAGTCTCATTGTCCAACGTCTCTAGCGGAAGTCTTCCCATTCGCTCAGTAAGAATTCGCTCTGAACTACCCAAACAACTGTGACGTGATTTACATTCATACAACCAATCGATTATTATTACGTACACATACGGACGTGTCTCGTGGTATTATAAGTCGCCGCTTGACACACCCCCCCTCCCCCCCGTTTCTCTTTTTAAACACCCATGCAACAAACTTACTCGATAATGCTTTGGGAAGCAGCAGAATTTACAGATTTCTTTATCGCTAATTCCATCGGCTCCCATGGTATAGTAGCTAAACTCTGCAGTCGAGAGGCCATATTAGGAAGGATTTGTGCCCAAGGCTCATCATTATCAGAAACCGGTAGTGTTGAAGACGTCGGTTCTGCGGCGGCGGAGGAGGAGGACGCAGTTGCGATGACTATGTTGATGGTTTGCGGTTGATCCCAAGATGAGAAAGAATGAAGTCGGGATATGAGCTCAACCTTCCGTTTTAGTAACATTGGATATAGTTATTATTTTTTAACAAGATTAATTTCGAGTATGGCTCGTCCGTACCTCTTCTGCGCTTTGTTATGGTTTTGAATAAATCAGAGTGTTTAGGATTAGCCACCTGTGTTTCAAAACCACGACTCCAATCTATCGCCTTGTCTTCCATCAGTTCCCCAAGCTCGACCTGAGCATTGACATGACCAACAGTATACAATCGTTATGACGGATAAAGAAACTCAATCCCAAGGTAAAAAAAAAAAAACAACAATAACGATGGAATTACATATAGCCTTATCAACGGTAGCGGTGGTTCAAGGTTTCCATTTACTCTTCTCCATTCTTCCTTTGCTTCTTGAATCATCTCCTCGACCTTTCAGCACGGTAATAAAAGGGAATATTGCAATTAGCAAACCAGAAAACAAGTACACGTTATTTTATACCCAGGATTCTCACAAAGTCGTATCCTACTGCCTCACCTTCCTTTGTACGCATGCTTTGATTTCTAATGGATTATTTTGTGCCAAATCAGGGTCCTCGTGTAAAGCAAGCTTGTCGAATACGAGAGGTCTGACTGTTCTTAATCTTATTTTATCCATGCTAAATTGCTTGTTATTTATTCTGAGAATGCCCACATGTCTATTTGAAACAAAGAAATATGAGCAGCCGCGTCAGTTTGTGAATATATTCAACTGATTATCATCTCCTAACGGCCAACAAAATGTATCATACTTTGGAGATGACTCAGCTTCTATTAGAGACGTAGCCACCGTTGATCCGGGCTGAGTTATGTAGAAATCCATGTCGCCCATGTATTCGGGATCTATCCGGCATTCGTGTTCGTGTCCCCAGACTATTAGATCAAGCCATGTATGAAGAAGGGATTCCTTTATGTAACCTTCGCGATTGCGCACACTTTGTTAGAATAGGATATCAACCTTTGTGAGCGATACTGCATATAATTATAATCCTCATTCAATTCTCCTCCCCCCACCTTCTTCAATCTATAAGAAGACTCTTTCCTCCCCCACCTCTCCTCTCTTCCCAATAATTACCGATTTTGATGTAGCACGAACATATGAAACCATTGATCAGAGTCTCTCGGTTTTCCCAGCATAACCTCGCGCTTCTCAAATGATTGCATCAGCCTCATATCACGTATATACCCCAGACCATGAAGAGCCACGCCCGTATTTCCTTTTTTAATAAGAAGTGGGCGGATTACGATATTATCGAGGGTCTCTGTTCGACCAAAGTAGTTTATCAACCTATTTTCGGCAAGGTTATCGAGTTCACTTATGGTATCCGGCTTTGGTGTATGCAAGGGAGGAAGGGAGAGAGGGAGAGAGGGAGAGAGGAAAGAGAGGAAAGAGAGGAAAGGTTATGAAATAAAAAAGCGTATTATTGACACAACTGTGTATAAATAAATGTATGTAGAACAGGCGGTATTAGAACTATATGATTGTTGTAGTTGAAGCATTGCTTACTCCAGTTGGATCATCGTGATTTCCGTGAATTGCAAATATTGGCATTTTGATATTGATATTTTTATCTTCAAAGTTGGCTTTCCTGAGCATAGCATATCATTAATTCACTTTACCTAATATAATTAGACAGAACCAACCCATAGTTTTAATCTTCACCCACCCCTTAGACAAGACACTACCGGTACCGCAAACAATCTCAAAATCAATAAATCGATCCCCAATAACATATTCGTGCAATAAACTCATCAATCGATGTCGAACATGTTTCGGCGGCTGATTTTTATCAAAAAGATCGCCCCCCAGAAGAATCATATCCACCTACACACGAACAAATTACTTGAAATTATTATCAGAGCCAAGGAGGGAGATTATAAAATACGTTGAATACAAGCAGCATACTTTATTTTGCTCAGCAATATCCAGAATTTCTTTAAATGTTACGAATGTGTCGTCTTGAAGCACCACATCGCCATCCTTGTAACCAAGGTGGTTGTCAGAGGTTACAAGTATTTTGAGCGTATCTGGCCCGTCTTCTATGGGTGGCCCACTGAAAGAGTTCAAGATAGATCAGTGGGCAGCTGCGAAATAACGAGTGACAAGAAAATATCGAGTATACTTGCATAGGCATCTTAGAGTATTGGTTACGATAGAGGGCATCCAAAATACTACGCGTACTATATCTTTCCGAGATCACATGATAATAAATCATAGTTATTAGATTAGGTATGTCTGTCAAATATACATGACATTGCTATAGATAGATAGTATTGAGGATTACGCCACTGTCTAACATTTATTTCAGAAAACAATTTAGCTCCTATTTTTGGGGCTATACTAGTCAGTTAGAATCCCACTCTTTTATTCTTTCACTAATAAGGAAAAGTTTATTATTTAGGACAGTATGAGTCTTAAATTGTCGAACATTCGACTTAAAATGCTTTGCCCAACTATGGTTTCTCACGATGTTCCTCTCCGAAATTTGCTTTTCGTCTCCCTCCTGGTCACCATTACAAAACCCGCCTGCATCACTACCATGTGATCCGATAATCATTTTCAAAGAGATGAGCTGTCAACTTCGCCCGGGGTTTGCTACTGAGTCATCGTAACACAATTGAATTTGCGTGTACTACGTCATAACAGAAATTGTATCATCTCGAATACAGTATATTCTACGGATCTTTTGTTTTATGCGAGGCGTTCGAGATTTGTGCTCAACATACTGTGATGCGTAGCGGATTTATCAGGATACATCTGAGACATCAGAACAATAGCAATAATAGATAATTAGTCAGCACTGCTAAAAATAGATTAATTAGTAAGATCGAAGATATAAAAGCAGCCCAAGTTTCAGCTAGAGTTGGGTGTGTTTCGCTTCCTTGATATTTATTCCTATATCATTATCTTGTTAATAAACGGATATCGCATTTACTCTGAATACACATATTATTGCTTAGTTTCCCTGAATTGATCGGTATAGCTGAAATTGCTAATCTCTATATCGACGAAGGATAATTGCCTCTTGTCCCGCAATTATCCGAGTGGCAATTATTACGATAATTTAATTGTTTTAGGAAACGCGTTTATATTGTTTAGTTTTGAGACCCCACACGGACAGACTACTGACATAATCCCACGTGTTTTTGACTCGAGGACAATTACATTAAAGACGCTGAGGTGAAAGCCTCGAGATTACAAGGTCACTAACTGTATCGTAGACTTAATTATTGATAGGAGAGGCCGACGATAGTTAAATCCCAAGTGTCGATTACTAATCGCTCTCCCGCAGTAGTCGGCACGACAATACGAAGCTTTTCTTTTCTTTTTTTTTCTTTTTTTTTCTTTTTTCTTTTTTTTTTTTTTTTTTTTTTTTTTTTTTTTTTTTTTTTTTTTTTTTTTTTTTTTTTTTTTTTTTTTTTTTT